CATTTCTAGGATATTGTCAAGAGACATTTTGTGTAGGTGCATTCACGTAAAAAGTTTTCCAACACCACTGAAGTTGGGATCACGTGGTACCATGGTCCACCTGCCTGTCAGAAGGAGTCAAGCCCCCCTGCCTCGAGGAGCATATCCTCGTCAAATTAATCATTTTTGGTTGACAAACATGATACGCTCTGTAAAGAAAAACGACAGAGGCAGAGGTTCACGTAGACATTATTATTGTAGCCACAATGAACCTCAGTGCATCAGCAAGCGTTCGGGTAAGATCGTGTCATTCCGAGACACGCGACGGAAAGAGGCGAGTGGTGAATGGGGCGAGAGACTCCCTGCCTTGACCTAGGGACAACAACTCGAGGGGTCCAGCGTCACTGTCACAATGCAATTCACCAGTCACGTTCGTCCAGACTTCATGCTTTGTATAAATACTATGAACGATCACGACCTATAAAACGACCCTGGAAACGTATTGCTGCAGTGTAGTGTACAAGTCTCTACAATGAATATCTCGGCGCTAATAGCACCCACCCTTCTAAGTGAGTACTAAATAATAATAAACTACTTATCTTTTAAAAAACTTTAAAAAAACTATGGTATTATTTTATTTATTGGTTAAAATAAAGAGTAAAATGTTCCCTCTCATTTCCTTATAATTTATTAAAACAGTAATGTAATAATGATTTGTTAATTTACTGAGTGTTTTCTTTCAGTTGCCTTGGCAGTGTTTAAAAGCGGCAGTACTCACCCCCATCATCATCGCCCGCATCATGGCCATCATCATGGCAAATAGGTACAACACACCGATATATGTTTAAATGGTTTTTTTCTCTTTTAGCAAGACACAGTATAGGTATATTGACTGCAATAAATAACAACCTTTTCTGACAACTATTTATTGCCTAAGTAAGGATAAGAAATTTATGGATGAACAACTTCTTAAGCAACCGTTATCAAGCAAGTGAACAACTTCTTTATTACAATTAAGAGCGACGTTTCGGTGTAGGTTCTAACACCGTTACTTGCTTGATAACGGTGTTAGAACCTACACCGAAACGTCGCTCTTAATTGTAATAAAGAAGTTGTTCACTTGCTTGATAACGGTTGCTTAAGAAGTTGTTCATCCATAAATTTCTTATCCTTACTTAGTACTCCAACTTCTAAATGCCTATCAAACAAGTTATTTATTGCCTATCATAGGCTTTATCATAATTTTTGTATTGTTATGAGAGTTATCAGTTGTGTTTACGTCGCTTTGAGCAACATTTCAGTGAGGAAGCACGAACTGATGCAGGTCTTAGACGTTTACATCTTTAGTAAAACCCTCGGGTTTAGTGCTGACAAGTCAGGGATAGTAATCAGGTTGAATCTAGGAATCGAATCGACGGTCAGAGGATCATGGCACGGCTAAAGGGACGCAACTGTGCACACTTAGTTACTACCTAAGACGCCTGATTCACGTCAGTATTATGAAATATTACATTGAATATGTAACATCAGAGCAAAGCCTTACAAATAAGCATTTCTTGATATTATTATTATTTTTTTTTTTTTAGACACGTATGACCCTATTGCTACCCGACCTGCATTGTATCCACTGTACAGCGTAACGCAATCATGGGTGATCAATAAAATATGTGCGACATTCATCTTGATTATACTTTTGTCTTTATTCTGAACCATGTGTATTACGTCTTTACCACTTTGGTGGAACCGACGAGCACGGGCATGATGTTCACAAAATAATAAAAAGATAATCAAGTCGAATATCCATAATAACAAATATTTCAAATTTTCAAATTTCAAAGACGAATTCTGTCAGGTGTCACGAAACACACACTTATTTATGCAAATTGTGCGAGTGGCGGGTGCTTCTGGTAGGCAGGATATGCTTACACTGGGGACTGGGAGTTTGTTTGCATATCTTTTTCTGCTACACCTGCAAAACCAGATATGTTTAAAAAATTAAAACCACGAGCTTAAATGTTTAGGTTACTAAAAACAGTTTACAACAATGTATTTTTTGTGGCAGAAAATCTCTTTTTTCCAAAAGCATTTTTTTTCAAGCTTTTTCCGGGTCAATACTTTTTTTGTATTAAATCGCATTGACATGGCACTTTGACGCTGTTTTTCATTTGGCCACAAATCTTGATATATAGTGATTATTAGCCGTGTGTGTTTCTGTGTCGTAAATAATCTTACATTAGGAATAAATATTATTTGTTCCCAATAGCTGATTTTTACCATACGGAAACATGGGAGGTTAATAATCTCTTTGTCATATAATGCCATTCTTAAAATGGATGTTTAAGATAAAATTTCAGTGAGTAGCTTATAAATACAATGTTGACCGAACCTCCCCGTTTATCATGTAGTGACAAGTCAAAAGTGTATTGAGAAAGTAGGCATTGCGTCGATGTATTTTTCCCTTAGAACTAGTTCCTGCTTTGCGGTCTCCTTTGTTTTCTTGTCAGATCGTGATACCAGGTTTATCAGATTGGTGTATCGCATCGATAACCCGAGACATTAAAGGATAAAATATTTGAATGACAGTATTATTTTTCTACTGTATTTCGGTAAACATTAAAATGCAAAAACGTAGGTACATGTATCTAAGTAAACGGGACGCCCTGATGTAACTGGAATACTGTCCAAAGCAATCGTTGAACTAAACTCCCTCTCTCCCATATAATATGATGAGTCCGGAGTTGTAGATATTACGAACGCTTACAAAGGAGCCCGTGTCGCACTGGGGCAAACCTTCAAACATGGAATAAGTGAATTAAATAACTGTGTGCACAAAAAACCTACCCCAAAACCCAGCCAAATATTTAAGGGAATAGTGAATGTTTTGAAGAGTGAGAGAAAGGGGGATTGAGTCCCACGAGTGGATTCGTGGTTAGAATAGGTCCTCAGCCCCACTGCTTGTTGTACGAGGCGACTAAATCATACGGGCGGTCAGACTCGGTGACTTGATTGACATCGTGGCTGTGGTTACGGTGTGCCCTCTTCATTAACCACTTCCCCGCAAAAACGTATACTTTGTTTCATCGTCAGTATGCAGTGAAAAATTATTCTAGGTGGAAAACAAGAAAACATGGTGGTTTTGTGAGGACCGCCATCTTATTTTCCAAACTCGTAACGGTTATTGTTTTCGTCTTGGACTTTCTGTACTGATTACTTACCTTAACCGTTCAATATGTTTCTGTATGTAAACGATTTTTAAATGAATAAAGTGAATTTGACATTAAAATGTCAGTTCCAACCTTTTTAATGATACATTAACTGCCTTCAATTAAAGGGAGGTAAATCCGCATAGACTATGTCACTGCCCACCCTACTCCGTCACCCATGGAATCCATGTTGAAACTGGACTCACGTTCACGCCACAGTGACTCAGATGTAATGCTTTATCAAACTATGCACATTTCTATCAACCTTAGTTACAACAAAACTTTTCTCAAGATCTGCCATCATGTTATACCAACTATGTGTTGGTTGGTGAGTGAGTGAGTTTGGTTGTTGTTAAACGCCACACTCATTATTCCAGCTGTACAACGGCGGTGTGTAAATCGAGTCTGGACCAGACAATCCAGTGATTGTCATGAGCACCGATCTACGCAATTGGGATACAATGACATGCCTCAAGTAAATAAGCGAGCCTGACCACCCGATCCCGTTAGTCGCCCCTAACGACAAACTGCTGAAGAGGAGTTCTTACCATTGGTTGCGTGAGTGAGTGAGTGAGTGCGTGAGTGAGTGAGTGAGTGAGTGAGTGAGTGAGTGAGTGAGTGCTCTTCTCAAAATCGGCCGACATACGAACTACTAGTATATGCGGGGGCTCGGTTTGCTTACGGAAGGAGATGGTGAGTGAGTGAGTGAGTGAGTGAGTGAGTGAGTGAGTGAGTGAGAGGAATCAAGCGAGCGAGCGGAAGTAAAGGGGAGGTCGCTCATTTATATGATTGGGAATGTGCAGTTTAAGTTTGGTGAACACCATTTAGCATTTTATAGGCAAGGAGAAGTTGATATTTACACAGTTCATGTCGTGCATAGCATTTGCACAAAGCGTGTTCGAGTCATTTTGAATTGTAATACAAAAATATACTGTACGATCTGTTTCAGGCAAATCCACTCATTCTGTGATTACAAACATCAAGCTACTTATCTCTGGTTTAGGTGCTCGCTCGGCTCAGTTCCCCAAATTGAGAACAAATTCCCCTCTGTGATATTGTTTGATCATTACTATTTTGCAAAGACTCATTCTACTACCAATTTGGAAAATACTCTAATCTGATTCGACAATCAGAGGTTTCAAATCACATTAGTATTTTTTCAAAGCGGCCTTGAACTAACTCATTGATTCAACTACATACGAGAGTGATCTTCTATGATATTATTTGAATATTGCTATTTCTGAAAGCCTCATTCTACTATCAAATTAAAAATATTCTGATCTGATTGGACGATAACAGGTGTCTACATTATATAACTGAAATACTGAAATACTTTCCAAAGCGGCGTTAAACTCAAATTAACTCCCACATTTGGTGAGCGAGCGTGTGACGTCAGTTGTTCAAATTTAACCGTATGCCCACGAACCGATGCCTTGACCCGGCATGCTTTCATCACCAGTCAAACCTTGCTCTTGATAAGGAAACACGTAATGTTACATGATATTCATAAACACATAGCACTGAACAGCGGCCATAATTATAGCAGATGATATCATTTCATAAATAGCCTTTTGAAAACATGTATGACACAATTCATAAACAACTCATACGCCCAATTTGCAACTGTGCAGGACGATGTGGTTTCGGTGTGTCTGTGGCGGTGTGGTATACCACCAACCTTCAACCAGGGGAAGTAACTCCGGGGGTCCGACTGTAAGCATTGAGAACAGTTGTGTGGTCACGTTCGTTGGATTCACATCCGGTAACGTGCATCATATATATACAAAGAGATTGTTTCTGCACATCACGACACTGACAACGTAACATAACACTTACAACGTTACAATGCAGATAACAGTCATGTGCACGCCCTTCTTGTTTGGTAAGTGATGCAAAATATACCCTTTACCCTTTTCTTCTTGGTAACATCAATTGCTCTTTTGTTTCTTGTACCTTAAACCATTTTTCATCATCATCATCATCATCATCATCATCATCATCATCATCATCATATAACAACTATTACTATCCGTCTTTGTGGTCTTGTGGTCATCCGGAGAGCGGAAGGTCGGTTAAATGATGACACCTGTCGCTCGGCATTATGGGGCAAAAACAAGGACTGGTCGGCTCGGAGTCAGTATTCTGTAAAAGTCCGGACTAGTACAAGCAGCCACGCACACAAATATGCACGTCGATATACAAGTGCAATAATCATGAACTCGACGTTAAACCCCATTTGCCCTCACCTCAACCTCATAACTGATCGCGACGATCAGGGAGAAATGATTATGATGATTATGATGATTAAATGAGTATGAGTCAATATTCCAACAATATCACAAACGGATTTCGCACCTTGTACCGTATGGACAGACTTGATTATCCAGGGTAATAAATACTTGATAATTGAGGATTCCAAGTGGGTAATCGAACCCGGGGATTCAGCGTTAGGCGAACCCTTTAACCACTAGACTACCCGACAGGCCTGGTGATACGGATGACGACGATACTAGTAGTTAAATAATGATGATAAAAAGCATATGCAGATATTCATGATTCTGTTTCAGTTGCCTTTGCGCTGTTTATCGGTTTTTGCCGTCTTCCATTTTGCCGCCACATGCATATGCACCATATGCATCACATGCACACGCACCACCACTTCAGAAATAGGTATGTCTCCTGCTTAACTGATCATATGCTGAGATACATAGTGAAGCATATGTTTGACAACCCGGACGTACAGACGTATACTCCGATTATGGATGTTGTCTGTCAAAGTAGATGCGCCTTAGATATTATTCATGTCTTGGGGATTCCGGGTTAGAATAGGTCCCAGGAAACCTATGCTTGCCGTACAAGTCTAGGTGGCTTGGTTTAATTCGTGTCATCGGACCCCGACGGCGTTGCTCATAATATCACCGACTGGTTTGTCTAGTCCAGACGATATTATTTAAATGCCGCCATCAAACAGCTGGAATAATGCTGTGTATTGCGTTAACAAAAATGTAAAAAACCCAACAATTTTATGGAGAAAAATGGGTGGCACGATACGCGCACCTCACGACAGATACCTTCCACAATACATCACTTAACCTGACAAGTTTCGCAATACTTAAAGGGGACTATGGTCAATTTTATTGTTTGATTGGCATTTGTGGGACTATGGACTTTGAAGGGTGCTGAGACCTTGTCGTTTGTGACTTCTGTGAGACATTGCTTCTGTAGGGCATTTATTAACTGTTAGATAGATTTATCATCCAAAACTGGCTCCCACAGGAGATATCGCTTGGATTAGATCAAGCGATATCTACATTGTAGATATCGCTGCAATGAAATTACATCACAATGCTTTGCAGACCATTGTGACGTCACTGGTTACTATGACATCACAATCAAATGACATCACTAATGGCTCTGCTACTGAAGCTACTGGGGGTGGGGTGGCTTCTGTTACTCAATTGTGTTTTGTAACAGGGCGCTAGTTGGGACGGGGAGGGATGGATTCGGGTACTCAATGATGTCTCTTGTAACAGGGAGCGAGTGGGACCGGGGGCTCTCAATGATACACGAGTATGCATGTATGCATCACCAGATCATATTTCGCGATGCATCGATAATTCCGCGAATCGTAACATCCTCGACATATAATATATTGAATGCATCAGTAAATCTTAATTTCCAGTATATTGCATTTCTTTTTTTCACCATCCTAATTTACATCCAACATTTTTCAGATTGTATAGAATTAAACTTGGGAATGATAAACACCATGTGGTCTTTTAATGAATTTAACTGCAAGACATTTCATAACACGGAAACAATTACAGCTATTGTTGAATTCACTTTTTTTCAAAAGACGTTTTTTATCTTTTCAGGTTCATTGGATAAACGGACCTCCAGAACACAGCCGTGTGTTGCGTTATATTTTTTATATCATCTGTCTGAAACAATATTTTCAAATAAATAATTTCTATCCTATATTTTGATGTGTAGTTTTTAATGAATTAAACTGGTATCGTGTGCAGAAAAGGAATGTATTTTGGTCACGTGTTAGTTTAGGTCCCTTTCGATCGATGACTACCTTCTCCACAATGCTGCACCAATCCGTTTCACACAATGGCTTTGCCGTTTAACATGCACACCATCAGGGTATAGTGAGTGAGTAAGTGAAGTTCGAATAGAGATCTGGTCTTGGGTTCGAATCCCAGATTCGACCAGGTAATGATCAAGCACAGTTCGTCATGACAGAACTCGATTAGATCGACACATCGTAGTAATAGAACCGTTGATTGTGATTGTAGTGGCACTGATTGTAGTGTGAAGGAGTCACTGTGTCACAACTGCCCCGTGTTCTTTTTTAATATTTCCCGTGCTTAATATATTTGGATATACTGCACTTCATATCGATGTGTATCATGGTATGTCCAGACCCGTGGAGACCCGTGGTAGAATAGGTTTTCAGCAACCCATGCTTGCTGTAAAAGGCGACTATGCATGTCGTAAGAAGCGACTAACGGGATCGGGTGGTCAGGCTCACCGACTCGGTTGATCGTATCACAATTGCGTGGATCGATGCTCGTGATATCAATCACTGGAATGTCTGGTCCAGACTTGATTATTTACAGACCGCCGTCATATAGATGGAATATTGTTATAGATGTTAAATAACAAACAAACAAACAAACAAACATGCACATGCTCCCTTGAACCGCTTGTAGCGTCAGATCCGCCCCAATGAAGATCCAAAGACTGCTGGCACCATATACCATGCTATTATATTCCACCAAGGTAGAGTGGCCTTGTGGTAAAAGTGTTCGTTCGCCATTACAAAGGTCCTGGTTCTATTACCCACATGGGTAAAATTTAATTTTTCCATTCCATGTGTCTTTAAAATTGCTTGGATACTGCTGCGTAAGGAGGCGTAAAACCATACTGGAAATTAAAAAAAACCCGTCAACGCCAGAGCATAACCAGTCTCAATTATTCGCCGAAACTTATCAACTGGGCGTGGAAGTCAAAATAACAGTAAACATTATATGAATGGATCACTGAAAATCAGTGATGACATCAGGTGTTTGCGAAAAGGGTCCTACCCTACCTGTCAACAATTATTATTTTTTACCTTTGGAAATATATGTTTTATTCTCTCGTATCACATTGTCAGTGCCTTAGTTGCTGAATCTGTGGACAGGAATTTTCATTGTTATGTAAACACGTATGACAGCGACGCCCACAGTGAATAAAATGCTTCATTATACACACATCTAGTTGTATTGTGGAAAGAGTCATGTCATTAATATAGAATACTAAACGAGCTCCCGTTTAATACCAATTTTATTAAACGAGTCAATAGTTCTGGTATCTTACGAGCGAAACTATTCACTATTCACGGGGGCGAGATTAGTATTTTATTTATTACTTGTCATTTATAACATTTTGAGAATTATACTGTGTAGTGTAAATAGGCTGACACCAACACGATCCACGGCATAATCAAATTGAGTTTAACAGAATAATACTTCAAACACGTCAAAAGTTGAAACGTATGAATTTAATACCATACCACGGTCCACCTTTAGAAATCAGGCGTCCGTTCCACAAAATTATCGTAGCGCTAAGGTTATCGCAACTCACATACTTTAACTTAGACAAACGACTGTCGTTGCGCTACATACGATCGCCTTGTGGAACGGGGCCTTGCACCTCAAAGTTTACAATCACGTCACAATACCCGATGACATGATTTGTGTAATTTTGTTGCAAGATCCATCGGCGAAATAATGCCAAGTGACGTCAGCCTAGCAACAAGGTTTGCTGGGGTCATCGAGTGTGCATAAGCTCCTCTCAGTGATCTATCATCTCCACACGCAATGTCGTTGAATAAGCCAAGGGATGTTGAGAGCTTTCAATATTTATTCGTGAAACGTGTTCCGGGAGTACAAAAGCACGCGTTTTGGTATTACACAATGTGTAATACTTCTGTATGTTTATTAAACGGGTAATCTCTTCACGGGCAAGTAATAAATGATACTATTGACATTGGTCTCGGTATTGTCAATATTTATATCAAGACAATGCTTCACGAGATTAGCAATTACGGGGTACAAAAGTACTGATTATGGATGAATGGTCTTAAAATGCCGATTTGCAGACACTGAAACAAGAAAGGATAATACAGATCAGTTTCTGTTTTCATATTTGTCTTTTATTTCTGATTATCTTTAGACAACATAATACAGACAAAAACACAAGATGTGTTTTCATATCATTATTATTCACTTTTACCACATACATCCGCTGTGATCAGATGGGTCCATCCATATCAACTGGACAGAAACAGCCACTTATTACTGTTTCTCATACAATCTCAAAACAAGTTGATTTCTATTATCTCACGAATAGTACACACAAACAGTGACTCATGTCTGTCTTCATACAAACCCATCGGACAACGAATACCATCTTGCGTGGTGAGAACATCTCCGACAAACTTCCCGGACTCTGTCAGTTGTATGACTCTGTTTGAGTCGAGGTAAGCAAGCAGGATATGCCCGGTGCTGGTAGTGGTGATATCACAAGGCGGAGCGAGTGCCGTGTCTCCGGTTGGGGCGTATCTCCATACAACATCACCCTCTGACGTCATGCATGTCACAGACCCCTTCCCCGAGTCAGATACAAGTATGCAGCCCTTGTTGACACACATATAGAAGGGGGAGTCAAACAGTGTCTCATTGTTGTGTGTAGTGACAGACTTCAGCACGTGGCCTGCCATGTCCAGCACATCAACACTCCCGTCACCACCTGCTGCTAGAGAGGAAGGACTCAGAACAGCGATACTGTAGTATCCCTTGCTGGTTGTGATGGTCGAGAGTAGACGAAGGTCAGGATATACTTCTAGTGTGAGAATCTGACAAGGGTATGGCATAGAAATCATCACTTTGTTCTCATGCAACTGTGCTAAGCACCATGAGTTGTATTGCAGAGGAAATGCACTGTGATATTGATGATTGTGCGTTGTGTAGAATGACTTGACACATTTGTTCTTGTGGTCAGTGACTACAACTGTCTGTATGCCATTGATAACCAGGACCATGACGTCATGTAGCATAGGTAGACTCACATCACTCTCCATTGTGCCATGTATTATGTCAACAACTACTGGAGACGGCAAAAATCGACCCTCATCTTGGTATGAATCTTCAATCTTCTCCAGCTGTAGGTCATCGAGGATGTGCTGGACGTTGACAATATCTGGTGTGAACCTGATGTCATCTATTCTTCGTGTGTCTGACGAGTCTGTGTCCCTGACACCCCCCGCCTCCCAGGCCTGATGCGCGTCATAGAGATCCATCTCAGTGTCCGACATCAAGACCTGGTCAATGAACTCACAATGCTGCATGTACATCTGCATCTCAATCTCTTCACGCTTCACATCATCTTGCAACTGTTTGGATTCAGTTTCTGTATTTCCTGTGATTTCATTCATCAGCTGTTTACCTTTTTGTTTGATATTTTCAATTGCTCTTTCAGCAGCATTTTGGACATGGAATTCCACTGATGACTTATGCTCCTTAATTCCCTTTATCTTTTCTTTTGTATTCTGAACATTTGTTTGTTTTCCATCTATTTTCTTCGCCATCATATTTCTCCTTCTTGTCAAGTGGTATTTCATTGTTGCCTTCATAGAATCTATGGTAAAGACAGACTCACATTTCCTGTGGTAAACAACACAGCATGTCGGACACACAGCCTTGCGGCAATCTTTACAGACAAGACTGATGGCTTCCGTTGTATGCTCTGTGCACATAACCCTGCGTTTTGTTTTAACCCTGATCCCTGTGCAAAGATCAACGACATCATGGTCACGTGAGGTCGGACTTGCGTGATGAATCTTGGAACATCTTTTGCAAAGGGTAACTTCACACTCATGACACCACGAGGCTCCAGGAGTTGTCTACCCTACGGCCACACACAATGTGCACTGCTGGTCAGCGGTATCTGAAATATTGGAGTTCAGCTTGAATGTTTCAAGAATCTTATAAATCGTTTTATATATAATGACAAGAACAAGTATTACAGAGAACACTCCAATGATCTTCATATAAAACATACCTGTTTTGACAGCTTCACTTTGTGTGTCAATCGGCCCCTGTATAATGATGCTGGGTTTCATCTGCCCCGCCCACTCCTCCACTGGTTGGTTGGGGTGGGGCACCTTGGTATCTTGTCGACAGAAAGCACAGGGGATGGTCTTGGACTGTACATCATCTGGTCTGGTTTGGATGTACTCAGTGACACATTTCCTGCAGAATGTGTGATCACACCTCAGTGTACAGGGGTCTGTGTACAGTTCCTGGCAGATCACGCAGGTGAGGAATTCTCGTACTTTCTCGGCCTGTGACGTCGCCATCTGCAATGAATGAGACACTTTTGGTTACATTTACTCTTTCTTCTTACGATTAAACACACTGTATCTAAACACCCACATCACACTTTGGGACAAAATAACATATGGTATTCTGGGTTGGGGTTGAGGATGGGGGTGGGGGGTATATGTAAACCAGATACATTTTAAATTTAAACTATGGGCCTAACATTTTCTTTTTAAAAAGTCTTGCAACAATGTATTTTTGTCGAAGACAATTTCGTCCTTTTTTAACAAGCATTATTATATTTTTCAAGCATTTTACACACTTAAGAAATCACAAACATGAGAGATATCTTTTTAATGTTCAGTCCAGCGACATACATTCACCTGGTACGGTAGATACATGATATTGTGTAACTATTTTTTATGAACACTAAAACAATATTTTCACAAAAAGTCATTCGGAGTTACCACCCCTTGATAACTATGCACTTTTGCATTTGAACAGTTTAAATGTTGTTTCTCTGCGAAACGGTGTAAGTTGACCATATACCAGCTTAAAGAAAGTATCTGGGCAAATTCCTTATCTAGACTTATATTCAAGGTACATCGTTTAATCCTGGGGCTTGTATCTAAAGAGAAAGTACATAACTTCCGGGTGTGTGTAGTCATTTATTATCATCCCGAGTGCTGTAAACTATGCTTAAATCAAATCCAGTATCTCTCTTCTTACCTGGCACACAGGAACAAGCGTCACGACTGATGACGGTTGAATTGACACATGCAGTATGTGCGACAACACCGTCGTTAACACGAAACAGAGGATACACTCGGGTTTACTCGGCTTTTTCCGCTTTTATGTGTCGGGATAATTACCAATGGTAAATAATTTAAGTTTCAGTGAGATAGTTCAAGTCTTTGAAAGACATTTGGAAGTGATACACATAAGGAAGAGAATTTATGGATGTCAGCTTCTTTATTATGAACACTGTAACATGGACTGCATGCCCAGAACACTGTAACATGGACTGCATGCCCAGAACACTGTCACAAGGACTTCATGTTTTTTTCAGGTGAACAATTACCTTGATTTTGGATGTGTTTGTGATTGGTTCCACAAATTGGGTAGGATACGGTCACCTTTACGCAAACACCTGGCATCATCACTACTTGATAGTGATTCACAGACACATGCTCATGAATAGTAAAATCGACTCTGTTAGGGCAGTCACTTTTATTTACATGAATCAAGTCGATTTGTCTTCTGGTGGACATTTTACCCCCGAGACATGTCACAAACATATCACAAAAGTTTTGAACAAATAAAATAGAAACTTTTTTCGGCTGAGCCACTATGCTGCATATGTGACTGCTGCAACATATTGTTCAGATTGCAGTCCCCGGGAAGGCAACTTCAAAAACGAAAACATCACAAACATTTACTAACATCATTAAACAATATTTGGTAAAATTGGACATTTTTCATTCAAACCCGTTTCCCTGCAGTATTTCGTCATGTGGCACAAAATGCCAAACCTGTCCTATGTTAATAACTGAACAGCTAAAACATACTTCACATTTTTGAAGACCTGCATGAAAGTTATGATATTGGAGAAAATATACCATACATCTAATAGCCTTAAAACCTTATAGAACGTCCAAAGAAAATCATTGGATTCGACTGTTGAATATAGCAATGCCATATGCATGTAATGACAAAATAAATGACGTTGACATTTTTCTGACCAGCGAACTGCCAACCTCAATGTAATGAGTCTGTTTCTGGCATCCCAAAGACGTTGACGTAGCTATGTTCACAAGGGAGGACGAAGGCCAAACGATACCGTTCATTTGGAATGGGCCTGAAGTTAGCGGCGGGTTTGTTTTTCGTTATTCAAAAGTACTGAATATCTAAACAGCTTTTGGATGATGATGTAAGACGAACCTGCGGTCATTTATTAAATGAGTTTCAGTGTAATAAAAACATTACTGCAGTTGTTTAATATACAGCCTTTGAATAACGAACCCGGTGCTGGCTTGTTTTTTGTTATTCGAATAACGAATAACGAACCCGCTGCTAATTTCAAGCCCCTTCATTTGGAAGAATAGTTGCCCCTACTTCAGAAACCATTAGGACTGCACAAAGGAGGAACAAGACTATACTCTGTGTCATTGAAAGAAATTAAACGACTCCAGCAACTTTTGATGATAGGTGGGTCTACAAACAGTAAGAGCCCACATTATCGACCAGAGAGTATAGTTCTTATTATTGCTCTAAAACGTTTGGCCAAACCAGAAAAAAAATCCACTAAATCAGACCAAGACCGTGTGTACTTGAATTAAATAGTTGACAACAAGGGAATTGATGACTATAATTTTAGTAACATTTTCAGACAAAATCAGTTTACGAAAATGTCCAACAATATCTCAAATTTCAGGAACCACCAACAATTTCATTTTTCTATTCAAACCATTTCATCCAGATTGTTCAATTATAGGAACGTGTTGCAGAACGTGAACTTGGCAGCTCATGATGTAAATTCCACTGCTTGTGGCTGCCAAGACTCACATCATACAACTACTAACTTGAAGGTCATAGTATCAATAACAACCTTCGTCAGTTATTCAAAAATGTATCAAAATGTGGCGAGCTGCCTCCTACAAATTGGCATCACGACTTCAAAATCATTATGGATGCTGTCTAAGCATGTGTCAGAATGGGCCAAAAAGGGAAGAGGAACCTGCTGAATGTCTTTCAGAGAGTGCTAAATCATTGCGTGATGCCAGTAAAAGCCACAAGACGGTAAGCATATGATATGCAAAAGGGATGACTTCAGTGTTCAAATAGTCAATTTTCCTTTGATGTCGAGCAATATTTCAGCAGATTCAGCCTTTGGTGTCTACATTTCACAAGTTTTGAAGTCCATGCGAGCCTGCACTTTCTACGTTTTATGGTAGACATTTCAAGTTTGACGCATCAGTGACAAAATGATGTTCGATGCAATGCCCTATTTTGATTTGTACCCGTGTTTATAGGTGATTGACTTGCCTTTGCAAGTGTTTGTGATGGGTGGCACCGGTGAGGCAAAATACGCCCACTTTTTCACGAAAACTTGGAGTCATCAACATTTGATAGTGATTCATAAACACATGCTTGTGATGTGGTCAGAATCGTTCGTTGGAGCTTTTTTATGATTTTTGAAATGTTTCCGTCTCATTTTATTTCATTGCTTGTGAGAAGAACCAACGTGACGTCATGACATCTATGACTGTGATGCCATGAACTAACGAGCCAAGGTAATACTGCCGACGACACTCTTCTGCAGATTTTGGATCTGGAAAACTGTTCTGAGGAAATGTGCTTGAAAATACACTACATTCATCTAACATAACGGTGTTGATCTCTCACCGGCGGTGGTGGAAGGGCATTGAAGGAAGGGTATAATGATCTTTGAGAAGGTGCCTGATGAGGTGTGGGATATATATCTCACACACATGAGTATTTATTTAAGGGCGAGGATCCTGCAATGTGTATCCATTGTGATGAGAGAATCAGTCAGACATGTCGTTCTTCAATGAATGATTGAATTCGTTTAAAACGCAAATGTCTTTATTTGAAATACATATCGTAATTAAAAAATGATTATGTTACACATTTGTAGTTTACAGAGTTATTGACAAAGCCCTCGATTGGGCTTGATGGTCGTTGTCGCATAAAATAATTGTCCCCTTAGAGGTTTTGAAAGACAACTTCATTCAAAGTCTTTCTTTATATTTACCGTAATCGCGGGCCATTTGTTGTTTTCATCTCAGGCTAACCTTGTCAACAATCGCGTGGGTGATGGTGCAAGTTGAAGTCCATATTGTTGCCTTATCGTCCCATTTGTGACACGCACACACACACACACACACACACACACACACACACACACACACACACACACACACACACCATATAAACAGGGTTGACCGTGACAAATGACGCGTGCAACTAATTTGAAGGAACCGCCTGGTATGTCGGCCTGACCTTGGTTGCTGGTGAGCTATACTTATTTATTACTTGCCGTGAAGAGATCAGCCGTTTAATAAACATACTGCTGTATTACACAATTTGTTATACCAAAACGCGTGCTTATGTTCTCTCGGAACACGTTTATAGAACAAATATTGGAAGCTCATTAAAACTAAAAGTATTGAGGACATGCAGTGAATGTGAAAGTGTTCTGGTCGTGCAGTGCGTTAGACAGTGTTGATGATATACAGTCCAAGTGAAAGTATTCACACATGTGATGGTGTTCTGGTCGTGCAGTGCGTTAGACAGTGTTGATGACATACAGTCCAAGTGAAAGTATTCACACATGTGATGGTGTTCTGGTCGTGCAGCGCGTTAGACAGTGTTGATGATATACAGTCCAAGTGAAAATATTCACACATGTGATGGCGTTGTGGTCGTGCAGTGCGTTAGACAGTGTTGGTGATATACAGTCCAAGTGGAAGTATTCACACATGTGATGGTGTCTGGTCGTGCAGTGCGTTAGACAGTGTTGATGATATACAGTCCAAGTGAAGATATTCACACATGTGATGGCGTTGTGGTCGTGCAGTGCGTTAGACAGTGTTGGTGATATACAGTCCAAGTGGAAGTATTCACACATGTGATGGTGTTCTGGTCGTGCAGTGCGTTAGACAGTGTTGATGATATACAGTCCAAGTGAAAGTATTCACATGTGATGGCGTTGTGGTCGTGCAGTGCGTTAGACAGTGATGATGATATACAGTCCAGGTGAAAGTATTCACACACGTGATGGTGTTCTGGTCGTGCAGTGCGTTAGACAGTGTTGATGATATACAGTCCAAGTGGAAGTATTCACACATGTGATGGTGTCTGGTCGTGCAGTGCGTTAGACAGTGATGATGATATACAGTCCAAGTGGAAGTATTCACACATGTGATGGTGTCTGGTCGTGCAGTGCGTTAGACAGTGATGATGATATACAGTCCAAGTGGAAGTATTCACACATGTGATGGTGTTCTGGTCGTGCAGTGCGTTAGACAGTGTTGATGATATACAGTCCAAGTGAAAGTATTCACACATGTGATGGCGTTGTGGTCGTGCAGTGCGTTAGACAGTGATGATGATTTACAGTCCAGGTGAAAGTATTCACACACGTGATGGTGTTCTGGTCGTGCAGTGCGTTAGACAGTGTTGATGATATACAGTCCAAGTGGAAGTATTCACACATGTGATGGTGTCTGGTCGTGCAGTGCGTTAGACAATGATGATGATATACAGTCCAAGTGGAAGTATTCACACATGTGATGGTGTCTGGTCGTGCAGTGCGTTAGACAGTGTTGATGATATACAGTCCAAGTGGAAGTATTCACACATGTGATGGTGTTCTGGTCGTGCAGTGCGTTAGACAGTGATGATGAAATACAGTCCAAGTGGATGTATTCACACATGTGATGGTGTTCTGGTCGTGCAGTGCGTTAGACAGTGTTGGTGATATACAGTCCAAGTGGAAGTATTCACACATGTGATGGTGTCTGGTCGTGCAGTGCGTTAGACAGTGTTGATGATATACAGTCCAAGTGAAGATATTCACACATGTGATGGCGTTGTGGTCGTGCAGTGCGTTAGACAGTGTTGGTGATATACAGTCCAAGTGGAAGTATTCACACATGTGATGGTGTTCTGGTCGTGCAGTGCGTTAGACAGTGTTGATGATATACAGTCCAAGTGGAAGTATTCACATGTGATGGCGTTGTGGTCGTGCAGTGCGTTAGACAGTGATGATGATATACAGTCCAGGTGAAAGTATTCACACATGTGATGGTGTTCTGGTCGTGCAGTGCGTTAGACAGTGTTGATGATATACAGTCCAAGTGGAAGTATTCACACATGTGATGGTGTCTGGTCGTGCAGTGCGTTAGACAGTGATGATGATATACAGTCCAAGTGGAAGTATTCACACATGTGATGGTGTCTGGTCGTGCAGTGCGTTAGACAGTGATGATGATATACAGTCCAAGTGGAAGTATTCACACATGTGATGGTGTTCTGGTCGTGCAGTGCGTTAGACAGTGTTGATGATATACAGTCCAAGTGAAAGTATTCACACATGTGATGGTGTCTGGTCGTGCAGTGCGTTAGACAGTGTTGATGATATACAGTCCAAGTGAAAGTATTCACATGTGATGGCGTTGTGGTCGTGCAGTGCGTTAGACAGTGATGATGATATACAGTCCAGGTGAAAGTATTCACACATGTGATGGTGTTCTGGTCGTGCAGTGCGTTAGACAGTGTTGATGATATACAGTCCAAGTGGAAGTATTCACACATGTGATGGTGTTCTGGTCGTGCAGTGCGTTAGACAGTGTTGATGATATACAGTCCAAGTGGAAGTATTCACACATGTGATGGTGTCTGGTCGTGCAGTGCGTTAGACAGTGATGATGATATACAGTCCAAGTGGAAGTATTCACACATGTGATGGTGTTCTGGTTGTGCAGTGCGTTAGACAGTGTTGGTGATATACAGTCCAAGTGGAAGTATTCACACATGTGATGGTGTTCTGGTCGTGCAGTCGAATTCAAGTGTTCATGACGTTATGCTCAGGTAAGGTACTCATGACAAGCTTTCGGCTTTACAATTCAAACAGATCCACTGGTCGGGGAACAAATAAAAAGCACATTTGAGCAGATACCAGTACCTGGATAAGTGTGGTTTATAAATGTATAATATAATAATAATCAGTGTTCACGACTTGAGTCAAGGTTAAGGGTGTTTTCTTCTGATCCATTGAACACAAATGTCCATTTATTACCCTTTGACGCTTTTCAAATTGGTATTTCATATGAAGCTGAATTCTGTTATCTCGCCGGGGTTACACACATACAGTGACTCATGTCTATCTATATACAAGCCCGACGGAGCCGGAATACCATCTTGTGAGGTGAGAACATTTCGGACAAATTTTCCGGACTCTGTCAGTTGTAAGACTCTGTTGGAGTCATGATCAGCAAGCAGTATATCCCCGGTCCTGGTAGTTGTGATACCACGAGGCCGAGTGAGTGCCTTGTCTCCGGTAGGGACATATCTCCATACAATATCAACCTCTGGCGTCATACACGTCACGGACTTCTCCCCCCAGTCAGACACAAGTATGTTGCCCTTGTTGTTGACACACATGAAGAAGGGGAAGACGAACCGCCCCTTGTTGTGTGTGGCGATTCTCCTCAGCACGTGGCCTGCCATGTCCAGCAGATCAACACACCCGTCACCACCTGCTGCGAGAGAGGAAGGACTCAGAACAGTGATACTGTAGTACCCCTTGCTGGTTGTGATGGTCGAGAGTAGACGTAGGTCAGGGTTCACTTCCAGTGTTACTATCTGACAAGAGAGTGGAACAGCAACCATCACCTTGTTCTCCTGCAGCTGTGTTTCGCCACACGGGGTTCCACTCAGGGGATATTTACAGTGACAGGACTTGTTATGTCTTGTGTAGAATGATGTCACGCAATTGTTCCCCCAGTCAGCGACCACAACTGTCTGTATGCCATCGACAACCAGGACTGTGACGTCTCCCATACAAGCCCCCTCACTCCCTCCATCTATCTTGTTTACCATCACAGGAGTAGGCAAACGTCCGCTCCCATCCTCGTATGTGACGTCAATCTTCCCCAGGTCATTTACGTTGACAATATCTGGTGTGAACCTGATGTCATCTATTCTTTGTGTGTCTGACGAGTCTGTGTCCCTGACACCCCCCGCCTCCCAGGCCTGATACGCGTCATACAGATCCATCTCACAGTCCGACACCAAGACCTGGTCAATGAACTCACAATGCTGCATGTACATCTGCATCTCAATCTCTTCACGCTTCACATCAGCTTGAAACTGTTTAGATTCAGTTTCTGTTATTCCTCGGATTTCATTCATCAGCTGTTTTTCTTTCCTTTTTATTTTCTCAATAGCTCTTTCAACAGCATTTTGGAGATGAGATTCCGCTAATTCCATTTTTTCCTTAATTCTGATTATTTTTTCTTTTGTTTTCTTGACAATTATTTCTTTTCCATCTATTTTCTTTGCCATCACATTTCTCCTCCTTGTCAAGTGGTATTTCATTGTTGCCTTCATAGAATCTATGGTAAAGACAGACTCACATTTCCTGTGGTAAACAACACAGCATGTCGGACACACAGCCTTGCGGCAATCTTTACAGACAAGACTGATGGCTTCCGTTGTATGCTCTGTGCACAAAACCCTGCGTTTTGTTTTAACCCTGATCCCTGTGGAAAGATCAACGACATCATGGTCACGTGAGGTCGGACTTGCGTGATGAATCTTGGAACATCTTTTGCAAAGGGTAACTTCACACTCATGACACCACGAGGCTCCAGGAGTTGTCTCCCCTACAGCCACACACAATGTGCACTGCTGGTCAGCGGTATCTGAAATATTGGAGTTCAGTTTGATTGTTTCAAGAATCTTATAAATCGTTTTATATATAATGACAAGAACACGTATTACAGAGAACACTCCAATGATTTTCATATAAAACATACCTATTTCGACAGCTTCACTTTGTGTGTCAATCAGTCCCTGTATAATGATGCTGGGTTTGATCTGCCCCGCCCACTCCTCCACTGGTTGGTTGGGGTGGGGCACCTTGGTATCTTGTCGACAGAAAGCACAGGGGATGGTCTTGGACTGTACAGCATCTGGTCTGGTTTGGATGTACTCAGTGACACATTTCCTGCAGAATGTGTGATCACACCTCAGTGTACAGGGGTCTGTGTACAGTTCCTGGCAGATCACGCAGGTGAGGAATTCTCGTACTTTCTCGGCCTGTGACGTCGCCATCTGCAATGAATGAGACACTTTCGGTTACCTTTTCTATACGATTATACACATTGTAATAAACACCCATTTCATTTAGATCACAGAATTTTTAAATCACACTTAACCTGATACCTAACAAAGGCAAAAGTGAGCGTGGCTCACTAATACCCCCGACCCGCCTAGTGTGTCAACCAGTCCATCACGCTCAACCTGCCCTGTGCGAGATGCCTGACGGAAGTCACTCTGTTTCATTAAAAAATGGATAGAGTAAGGGTTTGAAAAATTCATAAAAAAATGAAAAACTAATAAAAACTTCTTTTTTTCTTTTGACTGCACCCCTCCATATGACACAGATTATGTGTACTAAGTTTGAGATGAATCCACTGAATAGTTAAATAGAAATCGCGCGGACAAAGTTTTCGGACAGACGGACGGACGGACGGACGGAACCTTGGTACAACTACATACCCCCGACCTTTTTAGGTCGGGGGTATAATAAATGAGACATATCACAAACATGAGACATATTTTATTAATGTTCAGTGAAGCAAAATATATTCACCTTATACAGTGGATATAAGATATTGTGTTAAAATTTTCTATTGTAACATGTTCAACTTCCCAATGAGTTTTTAATGTTAAATACTATAATGGTGTCAGCTTGCACCACAGTTCACAACCCACCACAGACTGACCTCTTGATCCTAGGATGCACCTGTCTCAGCTGCAACATGGGGAAAGGACTATTTTAGAAATGAAACAGAAATTCGAATTGACAAACAAAGATAAAAATGGCTGGGGGAAGAGTATTCGCCCCCCCATGAAGACCTGGGTCCACTTGCACAAAGCGATCTTAGCGTTACAAGTATTGTAAATCCTTAAGATCGCGATCTTAGGCTTAGGCTGCAATCGCCATCCACTTGCAAAAAGCGATTGTAGGCTAAGATCATTGTAAGCTACAATCGAAACTTACAATTGAAAGTTGATTGTAGCCGCCTAAGATCGATTGTAACTTAGATAGTTCTGTGCAAGTGGGCCCTGGGGTCGTGTCCCCAGCACCCTGTGGAGACCTGGGATCGTGTCCCCAGAACCCTGTGGAGACCTGGGATCGTGTCCCCAGCACCCTGTGGAGACCTCGGGTCGTGTCCCCAGCACCCCATTGCTGGTCGAAAGAGTCATCCGAATGGGGCTACCCGTGAAGATCTGAGTTAAAATTGATCTTCAGCAACCTATGAGGCGACTAACGATCAGTCAGGCTCGGTGACTTGGTTGATGCTTGTCATCGTATCCCAATTGCGTAGATCTATGCTCATGTCAGTCACTGGATTGTCTGGCCCTGACTCGATTATTTACAGACCGTCGTCCAAAAGCTGGAATATTGCGGAGTGCGGCGTTAAACAACTAACAAACAAAAAAACAAGTTTTCGGCGACACAACGTAGAGTCATCACTTGTTTGTAAACATAACGGTCAGTCGGTTGCGAGTTCAACTCCATGCATGGTTGTTGCGACCTATCACAGCGGGGAGAGGAGACTGGTGGTGGCTGGGACAGTGTACGATAGTATTGGATATCGCTGTAAGGAGCTTTCTGGTCCCGCCCCCTTGTTGAGTACAATTAATCAATTTGTATGTTGTTTCACAGTGAAATAGTGCATACATATTAGCTTTAACAAAGCATAGGGGTGTATATACAAGTTCCACCGCTTCAGTGTGAAAATGTTTCAACAATTATCGAACGAGTAATTATATTACTTCCGGTGTATGACGTAATATATTATCAGCCTGAGACGCCCTCGACTGTTCAAAACGCCAGACTGATATCTGTTCAACATTATCTCTTCCTACCTGACATCCACAATGCCTGCTGACAGTTGATATTAAAATATATAGTCTGTGGGAACAGGCGTCACGACTGGTGACTGTAGAACTGACGCATACACATATAGGTGTTTGAGGCAACACTGTTGTTTTTGTGAGACGGGAATACACGCGGCTCCACTCGGCTAATTCCGTTACTTACAGTCACTTCCCAGTTGCAACAGAATGAGAGAGAGCTCCGCGAAAGGGTTATCGCGCTGAAGATGGTCTAAGGGAGGTAACCGACTTGTAACAAGCTGAAGTGTAGGGAGCGACGAAGATTTAAGGTTTCGGGTTCTATTCCGAATTTTGAATTTGTTTTTATCGCAAGACTTTCAGTCTATATCTCGAGATTATGGTAAATTGTTATCAATAAGACAGCTGACGGTGAATAATACACGTAATAGAAATAATAACGCAAAAGCTGTGGTTCCAACAAGTTTTTATGCATAAATATTATGCCGACACAGCATAAAGAATATATTTTTATGTAAAATCGTTTGGCTTTTAGATTGCGCTGTGAAATGTAGATTAGAGGGATTTATTTAAAATCTTTGAGAATTTATCAAAATGTTATGGGACCCACATCAAATTAATTCAGGCAATCCAGTGACTTATCTCGGGGGTAACCAGAGACAGTATTATTTATATTCTCTGGTATCGAATAGTCATTCTTTCAGTTTGACAGGTACGTATACCGTGCGATAACATGCTCCATACGTGTCCACATCTCGTATGTGAGAAGGCCTGTGTCAAACATGCAAGTGATATTAAGCATTTAGAACAAGACAACGATAAATAACTCTTCATCAAATGATATTAGTGGTAGATATATGTTGTAATGCTATATATCCTACTCAAAGAGAGTCACGGAAAATCCAAATTTTGTCATATGACTGTGGTTTTGACAGTCTGTCATCACAGATCGGCTGTTATTTAACTTTTTTAGAAATGTATACAGTCGGTGTCAAATGTTACTGAGGTATAGAGAACCAGTTTCTCTTATCCAGACTGGGCATCCGGATGAATTGGGAGGCAATTTAATGTATAGATATCAAACGTTGTAGCCTTATTATTATGTTTGTTGGTTTGTTGTTTAACGCCGCACTTTGCAATATTCCAGCTATATTCCAAGTCAGCGAGCCTTTTACGACCACCATAGTGGCCTATCGGCACGCATGGGTTGCTGAAGACCTATTCTACCCCGGATCTTCACGGGTATATCCTCCAAGTGGCCGTGATCAGTCATTGACCAATAAAATTCATCAATCACTGTACATCAACCCTATCTCTTGTATAAACTTGTCTTATCATAACTACCTATCAATCAATGTACATCAACCTTATCTGTTATATAAACATCTATCTATTGTTATGTATATATATCATGCTCATACCTAGTTTGTACTTCTTTTGCTTGATAACGGTGTTAGAATCTACAACGAAACGTCGCCCAATTGTAATAAAGAAGTTGCTCATCCATAACAATTGTGTCTTAGTTACCATTCCAACTTCTAAATGCCACACAAAGAAGTTAATAAAATTCAATTATTTTGCATGTGAAAAGCAAGGATATATTTTTTTCTAACCAAGATGCAGATGATGATTGATGACGATGATGTTGGTGATGATGATAGAGGAAGGCGACGTCTCGGAAGATTTCTGACATTGTCAGACATTTGTTTGTTGCTTAACGCCGCATTTAACATTATTCCAGCTATATGACGGAAACAAACCAGTGAATCCAGTGGTTGAGGATCTACGCAATTGGGATACGATGACATTGGTCAACCAAGTCAGCGAGCCTGCCCATTCCGATAGTCGCCCAATACGACAAGCAATAGTTTTGGAAGACCAATTGGACCCGGGTCTTCAGCAGTGATCTGCAAATACACAAGGTTATGTCTCTGTCCATGGAAGCCGTCATGCCCTGAGTTGATCATTCCTGATGCCACAGCTTAGCAGTGAAACCCACACGGTATGGTTAAAGGGTTGATGCAATGAAACAACAGAACGAAAACTAATGTGTAACTAACAAGGCGGACAGCATCACCGTCAAAGTGGGTGGACTTAGGTTCGCGAGGAAGATGTCTTGTCCAGATTCCCTGATAGTAATCTGGAAGGGAACGTCGTCTCTGTCGGCAAGAAGATGGGGTTGAAGTCCGAGGCAATCAGGTAACATATGGCCTCAATATGATTTATGGTAACATCATATAACGAAAATCTTATATGGCTAAATACATTCCCTTTTACTTATTTGAACAGGGAATTAAACACCGGCGTCCTCTTAGTATATGTGTATCTTTAATCAGTTCTGAGCTCTAGCATTGAGCGCTTACAATTCTACCATTTCCCATGGACACAAGCAAAGCATTCCCTGATGCTGATCCTGAAACTGTATCTCTGTCAGTGTTAAAGAATGGGACTAAGATCGCTTTGTGGAACACGTCCCTGATCGTTAGGCCTAGAGCAACGATTAGTTCTATTATCAGCTTTTGTTCATGAAAGTAACGTTATGTTGTAAAAGATAACAAAATACTGTCTAAAGTACAGAGCAATGATTAATATTTAATCACTTGAAATAATTGTTTTAAACAAGGTCTCACCAGTGTTCATTTCGACTCTTGTACAAAAGATGTTTAATCAGGGTTACAACATCCAAGGCCTCAGTTTATGGTAAACATGTGGATGACATTTTGAAGCATCACTGACCAAAATGACGCCCGTTGTAATTTTCCTATTTTGACTTGTATCATATGTTCCCGTGTTTATTCAGGTGACCATTTGACTTGCCTTTGCATGTGTTTGTGATTGTTCTAGCGCTTAACTTTACGTGAATACCTGATATAATCCATGTTTGAAAGTGACTCAAAAACAGACGCTTATGATATGGTCTGAATGGTACAATAATTTTGGTCGTTTTTATTTTATCTACAAGTGAGTGACGTCGGTTTATATGTCCGCGTCGAAAGTTTATACCATGGTATGGAAGAAAACTGTGTTTAGAACATTTCATACTGATGTGGATCGCCAAAGACCCTCTTTGGTGAGAAACACGAGGGCGGGTGTGCTACTGACAGGCAAATGATCTAATTCGTGGGTTATGTATTGTGCGCTTTAAAACATATGAGGTATTTACAAAGCTCCTATTATATGCTGGCTGGGAAAGTGTTTTCCAAATAGACTCTCGTGCATTTGCTGTTTAGCTAATAAAGTCCCATCGCCAAGATTGTAATCAATAACAACGTCTGACAAGAACAAACACAGATTTATCCTACTTAGCAGCATCATTAAGCCAGTTTTTCTCGTGGTGATGCTTCTTCTACGTGCTGTAGCCTTGGACAAGCCAAACGTTGATATCAAAGGAATAGAAGCCATTCTTTTTTGTATGAATGGGTGGCTCCATTTACAAAGTGTAGGCGCTATACGTGATTAATAGTCATCACTGACAGGGGTGCTTCAAGGTGTTTGTTGGCAGGTTCACAAGGTGGGTTGAGCGACGGGTGTGTGATGTGTGGGGTGTATGTGTGTGATGTGTGTGTGTGTGTGATGTGTGTGTGTGTGTGTGCTTGTGGTGTGTGTGTGTGTGGTGTGTGTGTGTGTGTGATGTGTGTGTGTGTGCTTGTGGTGTGTGTGTGTGTGTGTGTGTGTGTGTGTGTGTGTGTGTGTGTGTGTGTGTGTGTGTGTGTGTGTGTGTGTGTGTGTGTTCTAAATGATCTAAATGTCCAATCTTTATTTCACATACTGAAGAGGCCACAGGCCTATAGTACAATTTGAAGAATATACAATTTTATACAATTTATGTACATATCTCACCAAATCACCTCACGTCATTCCACCTCGCATCTCAACGCAGTCACATAATTTCACACATACAGTACAATACCATACCCTGTAACTTCATAATTTCTATTTTACCATATTACAACTTGTTATATCATACAACATATTCTATAACATCATATCATATTGTATCATTATTATAAGATCATACCAATAGTATTATTTCATATACCATTATCATATCATAACATACTATACATACCATCGTACCATATATGACCCCTATATTATATCAGATTTCAACATGTCATATCACACAACACATTAGCAATTTCATAGCTTGTCCCATCATATCTTATCATATCATACCATATAATGCCATGTCATTCCATGCCAATTTATTTCATATAAATCAATCAATATTTATTCAACACTGGAAGACCGCAAGCCATAAAATATGTACACTAAAAAAACAACAGTATTTACACAATTTCTATAATACACATACCATATTGCATCATATCCCCTCATATATGATTTATCATATCACACCACAACACTTATCATATCATATCACATCATGTCATGTCACATCATATCATTTCATATACATATAACTATACTAAACCATTTGTAATATCACATCCCACAATATCATATGACAGCCTAGTAGTTTAATACCATTTTTAACTCTTTTGTTTGTAGTTTATTCATAAGGCAAATATCTATAAATATGTACTTAATGTATGTACACAATAGTTTCCTAATACCAAGCAGATAAGATTATTCTTTCATAAGGTCCTGTCGGTATTAAGAGGCATAATATATGTACATGGAAACATTTTGTAAGATACTTCTTTTTGTGTTTGACAGCAGTGTAACAAATTTAATAATATTAGGGTACCTGTAATAATAAGCTTGCAGATATTTTTCTCTAAGGTGTAAATACACTGGACATACTAGTAAGAAATAAAATTCATCTTCTACTGAGTTTAAACTACATAGATTACAGATTCTTTCTTCACAAGGAATGTTTAAATAGCGCCCTGTTTCTATTAAAAGGTCGTGAGAAGAACATCTAAAACGTGAAAGAGCCGTTCGAAATTTTTTCACATTAACTTTTGATAAATAATCTTCCATAATTATTTCTGATTTAAACATTTTGTAATAAAAGCACTTGTTTGTTAGAGTCAATGATGCTGTCCAAGATTGTAAATAAATATCCTTTAATCTCTGGGTTAATGAAAGTATAAACATTGATTTGGAATACACATTTTGGTTTTGCCAAATATCACAAAAGCCACAACTGAAAATTAATTCTCTAACACCTGTAACCCAGTTTCTTTTCCCATTGTTATCATAAACTATCATCATATTATAACACTGTTTTGGCAATCTATATGAGGGCATGTCAATAAGTCTCAGCCAGTATTTAATAACTTTTATATTTGAATATACATAGAGAGGGAGTCTTCCACATTGTCCATACACCACCAAGCTGCAGTGTTTATTTTAACACCTAAATACTTTTTGCAAACATATAAATGAATCTTTTCTATGGCATCAAAGTGTTGTAAACCCCAGACTTCTGCCCCATACAACAAAATGGGGAGTATCTTTATATCAAATATTTAAAAAAAAGATTGATGAGAAATGGTTTCTAAAACTTTCAAACTCTTATGGATACTTACAAAGACCTTTCTTGCTTGTAAAGCAGCTTGATACAAATGTTTATGCCATGACAAGTTTCTACTGAAGTAAACACCAAGATATTTATAAAATCCTGTAGTTTCTATTTTTTGTCCTTTAAAGGACCAATATTCTTTACTTGCTGAATGACCTCCATTCTTAAATACCAAAACTTTTGTTTTACTCATGTTAACTGTTAGCTTCCATTTATTGCAGTAACTTTCAAGTAAATTAATTTGAAACTGCAGTCCTTTGATTGTTGATGAAAAGAGAGCAATATCATCTGCAAATAAAAGTAAAGATATCTGTGTAATATCTGGATGGAGCTGAACACCATAATTACAGTTGGTATTTATTTGTACAGCCAGTTCATTTATGAAAAAAGTAAAGAGAAATGGGCTTAAGATACATCCTTGTCTTACTCCTAACTGACTAATAAATGTTCCTGAAATCTCATTATTGTTTCGCACACACACCTTAATATTCTCGTAAATGCTACCCAATAGTTTGTTCATCTTAAAGCTGAGGCCATGTGATCTTAAAAGGTTCCATAGTTTATGCCTCTGCACTGAGTCAAATGCCTTGGCAAAGTCAACGAAGAGCACATAAAGTTTCCCACCCTTGACACTGAGGTATTTGTTAACTAAAACTTGAAGGATAAAAATGTTGTCAATAGTTGAATAGCCCTCTCTAAATCCAGCTTGTTCTTCATTGATTTTGTTGAGGGTATCTGCCCAAAACACTAACCTTTTATTTATTATGTTTGTGAATAGTTTACCAAATATACTTAGCAGTGAAATACCTCTGTAATTGTTTATATTATTTAGATCACCTTGTTTATGTACAATTATGGCACAATTATCCCTATTGACCATGCATCTGGAAATGTTCCATTTTCTAATATAACATTAAATATAAGTTCAAGGTAAGGTACAATGATTAAGTGATCTAAATAATTACAGGTACTCAATTAGTCTTCTTAATACATAGTAATAACGAACAGTTTTCTTTGGTCGCGTGTCTGTAAGAAATGGTCTATCATATCTGTTCCTACAATGTGAGACATATGCGATCGCTTGCATTTGATTTTTAAACGCCGCCACGCCCCATCCTCACCACCAAATGGTGGCTCCCTCACTGCGTGTGTGGAGTCATGTGTTTATAGACAATACGGAGGTTCAGTTTGTCACGCTGCACGTTAGTGCATTATTATTATGGATACTGACGTGGGTAGGTAAGCATTAACTGACATCTTGTCCCTTCTGGGCGTGAGAGACAAAGGTCTAAAGAATGGTCTCCATGTAGTCCTCTGTCACTGATAATAGACCAGCGACACTATTACAATTTCACCGACGTTTCATTAAGCGCGATATAATGAGGGAATGTTGTACTGACATGAGGACGAAACACCATTATACAATGTACGTTACACTCAAAGACAATGTTCTCAGCGGATATTGGAGAGATTTTGTTAAAGGGACGATCAAAGACTGTGACATAATTGAAGATAAAGCCTTTGTTATCATTCCTTTTGTGGGTACAATGACATTGTTCAACTTCTAAGGGTAAACACGTACATGAAATTGATATTGTTCTAAATGGAATCTTTATGGCATTAATGGATTTATATTGATTTTCTCAGAGTCATAATTATGTCCTAAATTGCCTGCATTATGTCAACACCGCCTGTTTTGTTTGAGAACCTGTGGAAAATCTAGATTTGCTATCGCATTACAGTAGACTGGGAAAAAGTGAACATAATATGGTTAAGAGACTGTACGTCAGACTAGGGAAAATGTCATGGTCTTGATAAAGCCGCGCAATATCGTGTGTGATTACAAGCACGGGTTAATAAAAAATGAATAAGAATAAAAAATGACATGGAAATACTGCATATATGAATTTATTTAATGTGCAATTGCACAATGAACAGACTGTATATTACCATAATGGTACTAATATATTATTGGAAGATAGTATTATAGCTTAATAACATTTACCTCACATTATATATCAGATATACAACATTTTAGGATAACTAAAGAACACGTGCAACACTTTCAGCGAAGTTTATGACGTGGATGTGGACCTCCCCTTGTCTGTTGCTTCTTCCGGTTGTCGATCTCAGAGAGACAGAAAATACCCTCACAGCATTAGCGTTTCACTTTAGTTTTCATATATTGGTTTGGATAACTGTTATTCCAGCTTTTGTCTTTTCTCGATCTATTATGTTATATGTACCCTGGGACAATTCGCCACCATATCTGGTTGCGGAAGTGACGTCACAGCACCGTTTCTCTTATTTATTTTTAGTGTCGTGTCATTTGCACCGTATGAGAAGGAGGCTGTAGTGGCAGGGCATTTATCATAATGGAGTGAGTGAGTGAGTTTGGTTTTACGCCGCTTTTAGCAATATTCCAGCAATATCACGGCGGGGGACACCAGAAATGGGCTTCACACATTGTACCCATGTCGGGATTCGAACCCGGGTCTTCGGCGTGACGAGCGAACGCTTTAACCACTAGGCTACCCGACCGCCCCTTATCATAATGGATAATACCCTGGACAATCGAGGATGCCTTTCGCCATTCATGTACCTTTACAGTAGGTCGTTGGTGTTGCTTTTCTTTATTTACTGTATTTTGTTAAGGCATTGACAGACGTGCTAGGTTAGAAAACTCTATTAATTTTTTGTGTTGACCTTACTATTAAGTGATTCCCTCAACTATAAGGAATATTCCCCTTCAGAGATCAGACAAGTAGATTGCTGTTTACATGAACTTAAGGAATTATGAAGAAGGACACCGACACAGACTCAACAACAACATTAAGATTTTTTGAATTTTTTTGGATTTTTTCAAAAAAGAAGAAGATAAAATAGTGTCTTTTAGGCAAAATATGGAGGGGTATTGTACAATAATTTGTTTTATTTAAGAATAACAAATGTACACAATGCACATCAATAAACTGCCATGTTGATCTTATGTGATCAATATGACCCTTTGTGTTCCCGTTCGTGTCTTCTTTGGAAACTGACCACTGATTCAAATCAATATATTCAATATGCGGTAAGTTGTGTTTTCCGTGTAATGGCCTTGCCCTGTGAATCAAGGCTATTCCCCAGAGGCCATAATAACGACGTTAATAAGTGATGTTATCACTTTACAAATCATTACTAATGCTTTCGTGTGTGGCGCTCATGGAAATACTCTGATTGAGATCTGGGACTGATCCCTACATGGACGGAAGTATAACTAATGTGTTTGTCTCGGTAAGGGGAGCGTGTCATGTACTCCAGTCAGCACAACGATAATCAATCCCCACATTATAATGCCAAACGTTCCATATGCTTGAGGGTCCACTGCCGGGGTCTTGTGGATAGAACTTCTGCCTGGACAGCGGAAAGTCTCTCCAGTAGATGTTGAAAGATGGTACTCGTTGTTTTCTTACCGCCTGGCGCTCTGTGTTTGTGGGATAAAACAAGGACAGGTCGGGTAGGAGTGGGGTATCCGCATATCATGGTATCCAAGAGCACAACATAAGACTAGTACAAGCAGACACACTCACCACCACGCACGCACGATTATAAATGAGCACATTCCATCCCGATCTCTAAGATTATAATGATCACATTCCATCCCGATCTCTAAGATTATAAATGAGCACATGCCATCCCGATCTCTAAGATTATAAATGAGCACATTCCATCCCGATCTCTAAGATTATAAATGAGCACATGCCATCACGATCTCTAAGATTATAAATGAGCACATTCCATCCCGATCTCTAAGATTATAAATGAGCACATGCCATCCCGATCTCTAAGATTATAAATGAGCACATGTCATCCCGATCTCTAAGATTATAAATGAACACATGCCATCACGATCTCTAAGATTATAAATGAGCACATGCCATCACGATCTCTAAGATTATAAATGAGCACATGCCATCCCGATCTCTAAGATTATAAATGAGCACATGCCATCACGATCTCTAAGATTATAAATGAGCACATGCCATCCCGATCTCTAAGATTATAAATGAGCACATGCCATCCCGATCTCTAAGATTATAAATGAGCACATGTCATCCCGATCTCTAAGATTATAAATGAACACATGCCATCACGATCTCTAAGATTATAAATGAGCACATGCCATCCCGATCTCTAAGATTATAAATGAGCACATGTCATCCCGATCTCTAAGATTATAAATGAGCACATTCCATCCCGATCTCTAAGATTATAAATGAGCACATTCCATCCCGATCTCTAAGATTATAAATGAGCACATGCCATCCCGATCTCTAAGATTATAAATGAGCACATTCCATCCCGATCTCTCAGATCATCTCTGATGCATTTTAGAACGGTCTTCTTAAAGACTTACTTCCTCAGACAGGCATACCACTGAAGAACACCTCAGAGCTGTTGTTTCCTCGGTGCCATTACCCAGTTTTCTAGTATTCGCTGGTAGCTAATGAAGTTGAAGAATTCCGTGAAGGCCCGGTCACAACAATCATTTCACATTTTCTGGTACTGTGAAAATCAAATTATTCACACTGTACCCAATAACCCTGCAGTTTCCTCGTCCCAGAAGTACCAAACAACGCTAACAGAACAGCTCTATACAGTCAATAGCAATGGTGGGAATACTTTAAAATGTCTGTTATTCTTGAATACATGTCACGCTGTACCATTGATTTTTCGTGTAGCTTGCTAGCCTGATTAAAAATATACATGTAACAGTAAATGCATTCATGACCATGGTGACATGCATAAATCTACATGTATTGTTGTACCCGTGTTGGTTTAAATCATCATATGTATGTTTTCAAGTCGATTGACGAAACATGAAATACCACTTAACGAAATCGTGTACTTGCTCCAAGTTGTCCTTGACTGTTTATACCAAACATCCATTACGTGGCATTGCGCCCATCGTTGCCATCGACGTCTGGACAGCAGGGTAAATAAATAAGCTCAGATTTTGTATATCGCCACGTAACCGAAGTGCATTCCATTAATGCATTGTCTCAATACAGTGTACATTGAATTATTCCACAATGACATCACAGTGATGCATGTGCCAACGTCATCTTGGGGACAGTCCGAATTTAGTGTTATTAAATTTGCATGATCATCAACATTTGACAAAATCTAACTGTACTGATGGACATGAATAAGGGAACATGTAGTTTTAGACACAGAAAAATGACATGCTATCAATGGTTCCCAGCCTTATCTTCCAAATACGCGTGGGAAACAACATACACAAACACATCGCAACATTTGATTCTGATTTGATATATATATTATCACGACGTGTTCGTCACATGTGAATGATTTTAGTTTTTCTTGAATCAATAGACATCACCTCACAGAGACACGGTTGTAAATTTTGGTGTGGTGGATGTAAGTAGAGTGTACTACGTTTATAACGAACACGCTTATAACGAACTGATGAATATTACGAACATATTTTTTGGTATAGTTCTTTCACGATTGTACTCTTGATTTGCTGCATGAGACGTGTGTAATTAAACACAGTGCTGTTTTGGAATGAACTAGTTTGGTATATGACTCTGTACTGTTATGCACATAAAGCGGTTGGAAAGGATAAAGTATCCGGCGACTAACGGGATCACGTGGTCAGGCCCGCTGACTTGGTTGATGTATGTCATCGTATCCCAACTGCTTGGATCACAAATACAATAAAATATCAGTAAAGAGGACTTACACTGCAGCAACATACACAGGAAACGCCAGTACGAGATGCATATGTAAATAACTGAGCACATTCAACTTTCTTAACCATGTTTGTATGAAACAAGTACATTTGTAAGATCGAATTTCGGCTAGGAGTAGGTATAATGTTTCCGAGTGGGGACTACTTGTTAAAGCGCGACATGGTATATAAGTGAGCTGGCACAATAAAACCGGCATTAGTCCGGTCTAGTACAAGCAGTCACACAAATACACACGCACGCACGCACGCGCATTTGCATGCCCGTCGCTTTTTAAGTGCAATATTCTAGAACGGCGATAAACCCCATTTTACCTCACCTTACCTGTCTACCTTATGATGCCCTGGTGAGAATAGCTGCACAGAACACTATTGCTTGTCGTAAATGAGGATCGGATGGTCAGGCTCGGTTACTTGGTTGGTTGTGTGTCATCTTACCCCGGCGTGGGGCGTTGCTCATGATGTCGTCAACTGGTTTGTCTGATTCGATTATTTACAGGCAGTTGTGATAGATCACGGCGTTTAACATCATTCATTCTATCCAGCTATGACTCGTCTAGTATACAGAATCTGTGTCTCTTTATACAATCAATTGCACAACACACAACGTGTAATCATGTAATTCCCTTGAGGAAAACAACGTGCTTGCTTTCGACAAAGCTTGAGAGTTGGAAAAACACACCATAGAATTCAGAACATGAAATGTAATGACAAACTTCATATGTACAAAAATGTAACGACTCTCGTGAGACTTAAACATAAAATGTTTATGCGAGGCGTGTTTACAGTTGAGCCTAATTCATTGCCATGGCACATGTTTTGCCATGATGAAAACACCCGGAGAACAATCATGGAAATTGTGGAATCAAAGTTGTCATCGATGTATTGATCTGTCCATATTTACATAAACAAAGTAGCTAATACACAGGCGTATGTGTGTGACAACAGCAGCTAAGGAAATACTTCTGGGGGCATTGGTTATACCAACCATCTGGAGGATCGTGGGTAATATATCAAGGTAAGAGTTGTAAACACTACCAGGAAGCATCCGAGACGGGAACACGGTTACAGTAGCGACGGCCATTGTCGGGATGTGTAGTTAGTGGTGTAGAGGGCGTCTGCATATATAGGTATCCGTTTTATGCCGGGTGAGCGAGTCCTATTCGTTGTTGTGAGTTGTGCAAATATCCTTGGCCCCGTTCCGCAAAGCGATCTTGGCGCTTCGACTGCCTTAACTCTTTGTTAAAGTTTGAAGTTGCGATCGTCTTTGCGCTAAGATCGTTTATGAAACGAAGCCCTGGTGCCTATTAAAACTATTTTCTGTCTTTGTTTAAAACATTGTAACATGAATGGGTTTTTTCAACAGATACATTTCCCATGACAGGTGAACAAATATCAGTATCATGAATAGTCAGTGAAGTATAGATGTTCTGACAAGGGTATATTTGTACGTCATGTATTCTGATTCATACACTAGGACCTCTGTGTGGACTCAGGATATGACAAGAGCCCCAAGTATCCCATGCTTGTAGAGATCGGGTGGTCAGCTCTCAACGCCAGATAATAATCGAATATCTGCCGAAACAGATTCCACGGGGCGTAAACGGCAAAAGCTTTGTTATCGTGCCCCGACACCGATACTGGTTTGCCGAAAATGTACAGGCGGCTGTGATATAGTGGAGTATTGCTAACTACGACATTAAACGACAAACAAATAAACAAATGATACATTCAAATATTTGATTATGTACATATTCAGTCAGGCCTTTTGCGTCCTCTCCGGCGCCGGAATTAGGTTTTGCAGTGTTGAGTCCTTACATGTGCCAGGATCCACTGAACGTGGGTTCGGATCCAAGGTATGGTCTGATCCAGAATGTGTCAGCACCATACATATATCCGTAGGTTTGACCACAGAAGAGAACGTCTCCGATCTGCACCATCTTGGGACTTCATCCCACAAAGCTGGCACATATTACTGGTATACTGTACCAAGCGGCGGAACACCCAACACCCTACCCAATCTTGGAGCAGTAACTGTTTATGGATAAAACAGCGCTGGCTCCATTACCTAACTCTCGGGTCAGGATAATGCTTTGCGCGTTGCCAACGTTGTTGGCAAGGGGAAGCAATATCGCCTACCCGCCTCACTGCACCCTCAGCGAACCCATTTAAGACCTCTCTACCTGGTGTCATTGTTTCCAGGTAGACTGATGTTTGTTTGGAACGATCCGAATTTATCCATTAGCAAAGAATGAAGACATTAATGTTTTATTGTTAATCAATCTTGTTACTTTGTCGTGTAATCCTTGTAACATTTAAAAGCAATTTGTCCAGTAGAAAGAGGAATTGATTTACACCTTAATGAGTCTGTTAAGGGTTTTAAGAGCAAGCTTTTGATAGTAAAAGGTGTCTAAGAAATATGGATTGTCAAAATGGGAGATCAACATATTGCTTTTTCAGCCTAGAGCTACGAACCTATGTTGCCTTTAAAATTAATTGCATGTACCCTTCAAAACTTATCTGTTATTTTCCATAGCATTCCTTTCTTAACTGCCGGACAAAAGAATGTATACACCCATGTTTGATGGTTGGTAAAAAATAACAAACAAGAAATAGTTATTTGATGGTGGTATTTTTTATACGTGTGTCATGGTTGTGTTTTGGACCTGAAGGTTGCAGTGTTTCGGCCATTGTTTTCATCCCAGTAACGTTTTGATAATGTTTGTAATTTTTGAGCAAATCTAATTTTCAAGTGTACACTGTCTTTCGTCCGGCAGTTTACGTGACCTCAAACAGTTTTCAGACTGACGTTACAGTGATATGATACATCACACATAGCGACCTTCACTGAAGTAAGTTGACGGCAAACGGTCTTATGACGTCATAGCACAATGGTATCCTAGCACCCATGAGGTCCTTTTTCACCTGGTGGGTCACATATTATGATTATGGGATTTTTGTCGCTTTTATCATATAATTATATTCTCAGGTGACGACACATACAGCTAGCATAAAACCAGTGAGTTGGAGAAATGGCGGACTGCATCTTCACCGTCAACGTGAGTGGACGTAGGTTCGAGATAGGACGAGATGTCTTGTCCAGATTCCCTGATTCTACTCTGGGACGTCTGACGTCATCCACAAAGAAGGAAGTGTTCTTCCAGAGGCCCACGTCTTTGTTCAAGTCCGTCCTTTGGTACCATCAGACCGGGCGGCTGCATCTACCAGCTTCTATGTGTCTCGGGGCTGTACAGGTAAGTGAAGAGATGTGGACGTTGGTGTTCATATCTGCCCTTGGCTACCATCAGACTGGCAGACTGGGCACCTTCATCTACTAGCATCTGTGTGTCTCGGTGCTGTACAGGTAAGTGAAGAGTTGTGGACGGTGGTGTTCATATCTGCCCTTGGCTACCATCAAACTGACAGACTGGACACCTTCATCTACTAGCATCTGTGTGTCTCGGGGCTGCACACGTAGGTGAAGAGATGTGGACGTTGGTGTTCATATCTGCCCTTGGCTACCATCAGACTGGCAGACTGGGCACCTTCATCTACTAGCATCTGTGTGTCTCGGTGCTGTACAGGTAAGTGAAGAGTTGTGGACGTTGGTGTTCATATCTGCCCTTGGCTACCATCAAACTGACAGACTGGACACCTTCATCTTCTAGCATCTGTGTGTCTCGGGGCTGTACAGGTAAGTGAAGGAGAGTGGACGTTGGTGTTCATATCTGCCCTTGGCTACCATCAGACTGGCAGACTGGGCACCTTCATCTACTAGCATCTGTGTGTCTCGGTGCTGTACAGGTAAGTGAAGAGTTGTGGACGTTGGTGTTCATATCTGCCCTTGGCTACCATCAAACTGACAGACTGGACACCTTCATCTACTAGCATCTGTGTGTCTCGGGGCTGTACAGGTAAGTGAAGGAGAGTGGACGTTGGTGTTCATACCTGCCCTTGGCTACCATCAGACTTGTCGACTGGGCACCTTCATCTACTAGCATCTGTGTGTCTCGGGGCTGCACACGTAAGTGAAGAGGTGTGGACGTTGGTGTTCATATCTGCCCCTGGCTACCATCAGACTGGCAGACTGGGCACCTTCATCTACTAGCATCTACGGGTCTTGGTGTTGTACAGGTAAGTAAAGGGGTGTGGACGTTGGTGTTCATATCTGCCATTGGCTACCATCAGACTTGCAGCCTGGGCACCTTCATCTACTAGCATCTATGTATCTCGGTGTTGTACAGGTAAGTGAAGGAGAGTGGACGTTGGTGTTCATATCTGCCATTGGCTACCATCAGACTGGCCGACTGGGCACCTTCATCTACTTGCATATGTGTGTCTCGGTGCTGTACAGGTAAGTAAAGGGGTGTGGACGTTTGTGTAAAGAAGTCACCAATCTACTTGTACCAAACCGGGCGATTAAGACAAAATGTAAATGCTTACATTGCACCATGGTATTGTCAGCAAAGCCTGCCGTTGTATCGACAGGAGGAGCTGGAGTACTGGGGCTTCAGTGTGGATGACATCGAGCCGTGTTGTCGACGTGCGCTCAGAGGCTTTCACATGCAGCAACATGACGTGTACGAGTTTAATAAAAAGACAACACTAGAGTTTCCTGAATCAAAGAGGCAGGCAACATCAGCCTTCGCGTGGGGAAGACATTGTTTGTGGAGGATAATGGACCAGCCGTTTTCATCTACAATCGCTAAGGTTGGCCGCCCTTTTACTACATTCAAGAAGAGCTTAATGTAGAATAGAATAGTCACTGAGGGGAAATATTTTGCCTAAGGTTATATTCCGCCAATGAAATGGATGAATAAATGAAATGATAGAAAAGAATGCATCAGTGAATGAATGAAATGAATGAAACGAATGATTGAATGAGTAAATGAAAAAATAAATGAATAAATGAATAAATTCAATGAAGGAAATGACTAAACGAATGAATAGATGAAATGACAGAAGGAAAATGATGTATCAATGAATGAATCATATAAATGCAAAGAATGATTTATTGAGTGAATGAATGAAAAAAATACTGGATTCAATGAATGGTTGTTTGTTTGTGGGATGTTTAACGCCACTCTCAGCAAAATTCAAGCTGCATGTTGTCTGTAAATAATCGAGTCTGGACCAGACTCCACAGCCGTCAAAAAGCTGCAATATTTCTTGAGTGCGGCGTTCAACCAAAAAACAAACTTTGGTATTCAAACAATATCACAACATTGGACATTACAATTACTACGTTGATATATCTGCTGAGAATGTATATATGCAACGAAATAAGGTACGATCATTTTGATACCAATGAAAAGTCACGAGTTTTGTTTCTATTGACAACAGATATACTTCTTGATCTCCTGCATGGTGATCGTCACGGCTACTCTACTAATTGTCCTGGGGACGGTTCCCTACTTCAAGGGAACGCTGGAGAAAAAGCATTGGAAGCAATACTTCGGGCAGGACTTTTTTGACAAGCATTACGACGAGATTAGGCTTGCGGGTGCAGAGCCTGACACTGGGGATTTGAATGAAATAACTCAGAGACTCAACAAGACAGATGGCGACATCCTCGGTAACTTCAGTCTCCCCACAAACGTCCATGTAAAGAACGAGAGCTTCGAACTAGCTGGTTACATCTGCACTGCCTTCTTCACTCTGGAGCTTCTGTTGAGAATCGGTTGTTGCCCAAGTATAGTCCGTTTCTTCAGGTCTCTGCTGAACATCATTGATGTCCTCGCAGTTGTAGCATCTCTTGCTACGATCATCGTTGAGCAAGTGTCGGCCGTTGAGAAATTCAGACATTCTTCTCTAGACATTCTTGAAGGTTTGTTGGTCCTTCGAGTCTTGAGGCTGTTCCATTTAACGAAGCATATCACAGGAGCTCGAGTTCTGGTGTACACTTTTAAATCATCATGTAGGGAAGTGGGATTCGTGGCTCTTCTTGTTGCAATTAACTCCATCGTGTTTGGAACACTGGTGTACTTTGTCGATTCTCACAAGATGCAGAACATACCGGAAGCGTGCTGGTGGGCAGTGATCACTATGACAACGGTTGGTTATGGGGACATAACTCCTTCTAATGCTGTTTCTAAGTGCCTAGGAGTGCTGTGTGCCTGTATGGGAATCTTAGTACTGGCAATAACTATGCCACTGTTTGTCAACAACTTTATAACATTTTATTCCTTCGCCAAGGAAACATCAGACCTGACAAAGACCAGAAATGGCGAACAACATACCACGTTTTCATCAGTTCGTCCTGTTAAACTTACCGTTCGAAATCAGAATGAGAAGGGTTCTGTGAGTGTCCCAAACGAGAATTAAATTATAACTGATAGTTTGTCGTTTAACATCACTTTCAGTTAGACACCAGCGTTTGACAGTATGAGCAACGAGCCAAGCGAGGCATGTTGACGCGACATCAACCAGAAACGGAGTCTGACAACCAGATCTACTGAGTCGCCTCTCACGACACGCATAGGTTGCTAGTGACTACTTCTATTGACGTTTTGATAACGTTTGTAATTCTTCTAACGTCATGTTTGATTCCGCATATTTTCCGATTTCCTGGTCGACTGGCCAAATTGTACCATTACACAAGAAAGGGGATACTAATACACCCGATAACTACCGAGGGATTACAGTATTAAGTATTTTTAGCAAGTTATATACATGTATTTCTGTTCTTAATAGAAGGTTGCAATCTTGGTGTGATGCCTATGATAAAGTTGTGGAGTCGCAAGCAGGATTTCGTTGTGGCTATTCCACAACTGATAATATGTTTATTTTACAGTCAGTTATACGGCGTTATCTGGGGAAGAAGCGAGGTAAACTATATGCTTTATTTGTAGACATCTCCAAAGCGTTCGACTCTATAAACAGAGCAAAACTATAGATAGTTTTGAATAACAGTGGTGTGTCACCTAAAATGTTTAAATGTATACAATCCATATATACGACTGTACGTTCCTGTGTAAAGTTTAACAATAGCTTCTCAGATGTATTCGATTGTGACTTGGGTGTCCGTCAAGGCTGTGTACTGAGCCCGTTTTTGTTTTCATTGTTTATCAATGATCTAGCTGTTGAAATTGAGGCTAACTGTAAACCCGGAATTCAGCTCCATCCAGACATAATTCAACTATTCCTGCTACTCTTTGCTGATGATGTAATTCTTATATCAGATACTGTATATGGCCTCCAAAAACGCATCGATGTACTCGAACACTATTGCCAGAATGATTTCCTAAAGGTAAATCTTGATAAATCGAAAATAGTAGTTTTTAAGAATGGTGGAGTACATTCTAGATCTGAGAAATGATATTTCAGTTGTTGTCAGTTGGAATGTGTATCATCGTACAAATATTTGGGAGTTGTATTTTCAAAGAACTTATCATGGTCGAAACATACTTACAATGCTTCATTACAGGCTAAACGGGTATTGTTCTCGGTTCTAAAATCCCTTTCATCACTTAAACCTATTCCACTGACACTATTTTTTTAAATATTCGATACTAAAATTGCTCCAATTATGTTATATGGGGCTGAAATGTGGAGTTTTGAAAACTGTAAAGAAATAGAAAGTATCCATGTACTTACTTGTAAACGTCTGCTAGGTGTTAAAACGTCTACTCTCAATCATGTTGTGCGAGGAGAGTGTGGAAGATACCCACTGTACATTTCTGCGTATAAACGCTGTATAAAATATTGGTGTAAACTTATGTCCCTCCCAAATTCACGATATCCTAAGAAATGTTATTTCAGCTAGCCACACATGGTAAAACTAATTGGGCTAAAAAAGTCAAAACTCTTTTACACAGCCTTGGATTTGGATATATATGGGAGAACCAATATGTTATTTGCCCCGAATAATTTATTTCCGAATGTGAAGATCGAACAGGATAGGCATTGGTCTTTAGCAAATAGTTCTAAAATGTTCCATTATACACTTTTCAAAAATTCATTTAGTCTGGAGTTGTATTTGTCTGCTATCACTTTAAACAAATTTCGTGTTGCACTAGCCCAGTTTCGCTGTAGCTCCCACACTCTCCACATTGAGACTGGTAGATACGTTAATACTCCACGAGAGCAGAGATTGTGCAATAGTTGCAATCTAAGATATGTCGAGAATGAATATCATTTTTTTAATTAATTTGTAACGCTAATGATGAACTTCGTCTTCAGTATTTACCACAGAAGTATTTTGTACATCCTACTCTTGCTAAATTCAATATGCTTATGGCGGTAAACAATGAAACTGTTATTAGAAATGTTGCAACTTTTATATACCATGCTACGAATGTGAGACTCCAAATACTAAGCCTATAAATGTTAATGATGGACCAAATATTGTACCATGGGCCGCTGGCCTACACATGTACATGAATAAAGAATTGAAATTCTTCTAAAAGCAGCATCTACTGTATGACTCCGAATATACAATAAGCTTGTGTTTATGAATTTATGAAAATTTTGATGATACCAGGTAAGGCCGAAAACTAATATTTATATTACAACAGCCATAAACGTCTTTTTTAACCAATTGTCATAACATATATTTTACCTAACAATGGTTTTAAACTAATATTTACATAACAATAGGTAAAACGTTTACTTACATTATAATAGTTGTAAAATGTATTTACAAACAATAGCTATGAAGGAATATTTACGCAACAATAGCTATTCACGAATATTTACAGCAATAGTTATTAACAACTATGTGCATTATAACATCTGTAAAATTAGTTTTTACACAACAATTGCTGCAAACTACGATTTCATTCTAATAGCTTTTAGATAAGTGTTTATACAACAATAGCTCCAAACTATATTGACGCTTGTTGATGTTTATGTTTGACACCGTATTAGCCCTTCAGTAATGATATCTGGGTATGTAGAATACACTATTCGTTCAGTTGGTTTTTTCAATTTGTAACTCGACGAACCGAAAAAAATAACAATCAATCAATAAAAGAAGTAGGTTCTGATGTTTTTGTTGGATGGACAGTCTCATGTGATACTTTTAGTCATCAGCCATTCGGACTGGACGAAGTGGAATACCTTTTTCGCGAACACCTGGTATCATCACTATTTGATATTTATTCATAAACACATGCTTATGACGTAATTAGAATCGTACAATGGACTCAGAGATTCTTATAATTATGGAAATGTTATGAAAATATATATGATCATAATTATGGCTATTGGTATGTAACTCTTAGATTGTAGTTGCAAATGTTCTGCTGGTGTCTATTGTTGTGTATATTGTAGTCTATGACTATTGTTGTGTATATTGTAGTCTATGACTATTGTTGTGTATATTGTTGTCTATGACTATTGTTGTGTATATTGTAGTCTATTACTATTGTTGTGTATATTGTAGTCTATGACTATTGTTGTGTATATTGTAGTCTATGACTATTGTTGTGTATATTGTAGTCTATGAGTATTGTTGTGTATATTGTAGTCTATGAGTATTGTTGTGTATATTGTAGTCTATGACTAATTGACTATTGTTGTGTATATTGTAGTCTATGAGTATTGTTGTGTATATTGTTGTCTATGACTATTGTTGTGTATATTGTAGTCTATGAGTATTGTTGTTTATATTGTAGTCTATGACTATTGTTATGGATATGACGTCATACTTTGTGGATGTTGTTTCGTCTACAGCTACAGCTAGTGTTGTGTAGATACTAATTGTGTAGCTATTATAATGTAAATATCAGTTCCTAGCAAGCGTTGTGTAAGTGCATAGATCATAGCTATTATATTGTTACAATAGTTGTGAGCTATTGCCATATAAACACTTATCTAAAAGCTATTAGAAAGAAATCATAGTTTAAAGCAATTGTTGTCTACATACTATTATTGAAGGGAATGTAAGGTGTCAAACGTGAACACATGACAGACAAGCGTCAATAGGTCTGAGTATGTTGACAATGTGATTAACAGTTGCAGAACATGTTGCTTATGCCTATGTCACACTGACTGGATGCCTTTGATGAAAAATTGACGATTATCAAAAACAATGAAAAGTGCAAAATTGAAGGTGATGGAGAAAGCTACCACAAACACACGCCTGAGCGCAACCAGTGGTTTAGCCAATGCACGTGCAATACATGACAAGTATTGTCAGTATGGGTATAAAATGTTTCATTCCAGATGCAACTAAACTGAACATTTGAAAGATGAAAATGCGACTTTTTTCTAAAACCTTCTTTTATCTGCGTGACCCATCAATAATGACGCTTAATTTGGGGAAGCACGAATGGACGCCAGGATTGTCGATAACCGTTGTTTTTAAAGAAAACCACTTGTAATCTCCAAACAGTGAAGGATTAGTCGGTATGGTTACAACTGTCGGGTATGCATGCAGCTTGTGATGCAGACAGACAGACAGACAGACAATAGTTTATTAACGTCTCACTCCTGTACATACATAAAACAGCTTTATACAACTTGACATAGATAAAATGTACAGAACCATTCAGTAGAATTATGAGAGACGAATTATCACAGAATTTATACATAAATGATATAAAGATATATAGTAAAAAGTTATCCATATAAAAGATGTTTTCTACGATTAAGAATTAAAAAGCAGACTTTGGCAAGTATAAAACACACACTGGAGTCACTGAAAATAATTATTGACAGGTACACCTTCGTATCGACCGGTTTCCACTCGAATAGGAGCCACACCACATCTAAACTTGGCTAGTGCCGATCTATAGTTTCTGGGCATCTTATTTGAAACATAGTATTCTGTCCCATATACTTGTTTGTAACATCGATACATTCTCAATTTATTAAGCCCATTTCGCCCCTCTTCCTTTCTTAACATATCGCTCCAACGGGTAACATATTCATTTTTACACCATTGTTCCACCTGTGTACAAACAGAAAATTTATCAATAAAACCTGTAGCGTTTAATATATGTCCTAAATCCATATTATTAAACTTCTTTCTTACCCTACCATTCCAATTTTTACAACCATTTACAGCGTATCTATCAGCCCAGTTAAATACATGTTTGTTTAACCTACTAGACATATTCTTAAGGCGACACCATTGTCTTGCTAAACGATGCATGTCGTTTCATCAAAATGTTTGTTGTCTTTCAAAATCTGTAAGAACGTATACTACGTTCATTCTTCATACATTTTTATAGTTGTGAACAAAACAGTATGTGTACTGTTTTCCCATTATTATTATTTTTTACTCATTGTATACTTCACATCGTCACATACATGTCGTATTGGGACGCAGACATGAAGAGGTAAAGTGTGTATTATCTGACCAAAAAATGAAATACATATCGTGTCATACCATTAAGGATTCTAAACAAAGCAAGTACCCTCCAGTGGCAGTAAATATGTGAAGACTACTGTATATTGTTTTAATTATTTTTGTGTGTGATGTTTCACGTCCCACAATGCAATATTCCGGCTATATGACGGCGGTCAGTGAATAATCAAGTCTCAACTCTATACTGGGTGAGTACACATTTATTCACAAACAACACACGAACCTGACAAAATAGTACTGAGGGATAAATACACTAATTCATAGGTGGGTAAATATGACCTACTTCAAATATTCTGACCTTATGGGAATACATTTAAGGATTGACTGTGTATTTTTTTCGGTTCATTGAGGTATGAATCGAAAAACCGATGTGTAAACTGTATGAATCCGCGTAATAAAAGTAGTGCGCCTCGGTGGGCGTGGCTTAATGTTTTACATTCATTGGGAAATGAATGCAATAACACGTGACCAATTCAGCTAATCAGGATGCAGGAATTTCAATGAACACAACGAAATTATATTTTATACAATTATCATTTTTTCCCGAATCTTTCAAAATAGCTTCAATGGACGAAATTACTATCCTAACTCATGAATAAGCCGATGAGACGTTAAGTCTTCATTTTTGTGTAATTGAGATGTGATCACATAACTGGTGCCATAGTTATAGAACGGGGAAAGAAAAAACACAGCTTGCAATGCTGGTCACTTAACACCAAATACGACCATTCCTGGGGACTGGAGAAGGCACTTTCAATGCACCCTGGTCCCTTGGCCGGTTAAGGGGGTGCAAACTGTCGACTTTTACTTCTGAAGTGAGAGACCATATACCGAATGTGATCTCTGATTTGGGAAAGCCACAAAGGGACCACTTCAAAAGTTCGATATCGGATCGACATGTATCGGTTTCTACATGTGCGCAATATGATGATACTAAGAAAGACAAGGGCTTTCAACTGCCTATGAAGAGATTTTGGAAACTCGCGAAGCCCCCTGAACAGGTGCTCGTCTGCAGATAACTCTCTTCAGAGTCACCCTGAACCTCAAACTGATGCAGTAATAGAACCAGAAGCCTACAGTGCTCGCTAGTACGTCAGACATAAACCACACCTGCATCAATGTCTTGTATAGGGTACTTTCTCTGTCGGTAGGACCGAATTCTGGAATACTATCAGACAGATGTGATGTTATATTGGCCGGGAGTGACAATAGCATAAAAGTGAAAGTAAAAAGTAAATTGACTTTCGTGATTTGTTTCTCGCTGTTTGAAAGCAAGGAAGCACCACCAATCATAGCTCGCCTTATTTTCCTATAGTGTTTCAATTTCATACCTGTTACAATAAGTATGCTCAAGATAAGTATTAAAGGAACGTAAGTCAACATCACTTTGGTAACCAAACCAAACGTTACAAAAAGTTCCCAATTCTGTTTGAAGATAGGCCAAGGAACATAGGCAACCACGGTTCTATTCGTATATGGATCGGGAATTTCCAAAATTTGGAACCTAAATACAACCGGAAAAGAAGCCAAACAACCCAAAAGAAAAAGGAGAAAAAGCATAAGCAAGTGTAGCCTGCGGGATTTTCTCACGACAAACGGTTTCAGTATCACCAGAAAGCGTTCAAATGAGATAATCAGATGAATACAAGTTGTGATTTTTCGAATCACTGTACTGAATCCCAATGTATAGTAAGTAATGATCATAAATTGAACTTTCCAATTGTTAGTGATACTAGCCCTCGACAGTTCCCGAGAGACAAATGCTCCAACACAAGCTACAATGTTCCAGAAGTCAAACATGAAGAGGGCAATTATGAACACGGACGTAGAATTCTTCCTTGGTAAATTTATAAAAGCAAGCATACCTAGTATATTACAAGGTGCACCAACTGCTGACATGATGAAGACAGAGCAGGACACAAAGCGTGCGATGATAAGCCCTACCTCTGAGGTTAACAGAACTGACCCATCACTTGGGTTACTGTCTGAAGTGTTCTCCTCTGTTGAACTGTCATCTGGACACTTTCCATGACGTTTGCAAGTCAGAGCTACTTCACTATCATTGCCTACGTGTGAGATGGTCCTATTGACTGAAATTGACTTCTCCAATGAAATTTCTTCGTTGCCATCTGAGTAGGTTCCAGGAGATATGGTCGAAGGTGTTCTTTCATCGTCACTGGTATTGGAATGCGAGATAGTCCAGTTGGCCTTTGAAGTAAATACATCTGATGGAATTTCCTCGTTTCCACCTGAACAGGTTCTAAGAAGTCTGCACAGATGCGTCCCTTCCCGGTGATACCTGTCAGTATTCGATGCAATGAAATTTGTTTCAGAAGTCGGCACCCCGGTTGTAAGTTCCGAATTTCCATAAAGACAGGTTCCTGTATTTGTGCACGGAAGTGTTACTTCATCACCATGGTCATGTGGTAGGACTGTGCCATTGGTGTCTGGAGTGGATATGATGGCCTTCCTAACACTCATTGGAGAGGTCATGTTAGTTGTATCTTCGTATACTGTTTCTGGGACACTTTCTGTTGTGACCATACCAGACCCGTCATTTACATTGTGACTCGGTACGTCTGTCTTATTGTCCATACATTTACAGGCGGATACATCCAAGTGGTCACTGTTGCTGGTATTACCAACGCCACTGTCACATCCATACATACCACGCTCAGTACATTCATGTGGGTCTGCGAAGCGAGTTCTGTTGAATATTCTTGATCTGTTGTTACGTTCCTCGACGATCTGTTCAAGCATGGACAGAATATGTCGATGGCGAAATGACACACTTGGTACCTCGTCCTCTAAAGAAATTTTACCTGATACAAAGTTCTGCACTGACCCCTGGTGACGAGTGTTCCGTCTCTGCACGTTTCTTTTAACGAATCCAGAGCCAATATCTTGTCTTGAGAGGTGCAAACCTTCATATACCTTCAAATGATCAGCTGTGGCAAAATCAAGGCGTAAGCCAACTTTAACGTTGGTAGGAGATTGGCCGTGTCCTGGGTTAACTTTGGCATCTTCTCTCGGTAGAAGCAGTACAAAGTGTAAGAGCAATAAAGGAAACATGGCTTTAGAAACGCGGCTTGTCAAGAAAAGTGTATCAGAAACAATGTTCAAACATTCACTAAGAATGAAAGCACTAAGTTGCTCTGCTACCAATTGATATGTCTTGCGAAGACACCTGGCCAATCACAGGTTCGTATGCCCGATCTTCCAAAGAGATTGCAATATTATACGTTCTCACATTAATTCTTCCTTATGAAAATCATGTTGTCAAACACATTCTGTGTAATTACAATGCAGGAACAAATATTATATGGTTTATCACTAGCTTGTTAGAAAGATAACAAATCAGTTAAGCACAACGATGTACAAATTTAGAGATAATTACCATGAAATGTGGTCATTAACAAGGTCCGACCTTAATGATCATGTTAATCTTGTCGACCAGATAGTTACATGTCTTTCTTATTTTCCCCTAATCAGAGGATACTGTCTGACATAAACCGTTTTGGGGACAGGCCAAATCCATTAAGAAGAACTGGCTTAGGAAATGGTGATTGCAATTCAATTGATTGGGGTTTCTTTCATATTACCGACATGTCTCATAAATAATTGGACTGAAAATCCGAAGCCGGATGAGTGTTGGTGTGTGGTTACAATTATTGGTGGACCATGTCGATTATCTGCCAAACAGAATTTCACTGGGCCCAATTTTAATTAGGGAACATCTCGATGTACATATCTCAGTCTTCATATCCCAGTGTACACCTCAGTGTACATATCTCAACGTACATCTCAGTTTACATATCGCACTCTACATATATCAGTGTGCATATCTCAGTGTGCATATCACATCGACATATCTCAGTGTGCATATCTTAGTGTACGTATCTCAATGTACATATCTCAGTGTGCATATCTCAGTGTACGTATCTCAATGTACATATCTCAGTGTGCATATCTCAGTGTGCATATCTCAATGTACATATCTCAGTGTGCATATCTCATTGTACATCTCAGTGTACATATCTCAGTGTGCATATTTCAGTGTGCATTTCTCAGTGTACATATCTCAATGTACATCTCATTGTACATATCTCAGTGTGCATATTTCAGTGTGAATTTCTCAGTGTACATATCTCAATGTAAATATCTCAGTGTACATATCTCATTGTACATCTCAGTGTGCATATCTCAATGTACATATCTAAAGTGTGCATATCTCAGTGTACATATCAATGTACATATCTCAGTGTACATATCTCAGGGTGCATATCTCAGTGTCCATATCTCTATGTACATAACTCAATGTACATATCTCATTGTACATATCTCATTGTACATCTCAGTGTACATATCTCTATGTACATATATCAGTGTGCATATCTCAGTGGGCATTTCTCAGTGTCCATATCTCTATGTACATATCTCAATGTACATATCTCAGTGTACATATCTCATTGTACATCTCAGTGTACATATCTCAGTGTACATATCTCTATGTACATATCTCAATGTACATATCTCAGTGTACATATCTCATTGTACATATCTCAATGTACATATCTCAGTGTACATATCTCAGTGTACATATCTCATTGTACATCTCTATGTACATATCTCATTGTACATCTCAGTGTACATCTCAGTGTACATATCTCAGTGTACATATCTCTATGTACATATCTCAATGTACATATCTCAGTGTACATATCTCATTGTACATATCTCAATGTACATATCTCAGTGTACATATCTCAGTGTACATATCTCATTGTACATCTCAGTGTACATATCTCTATGTACATATCTCAATGTACATATCTCAGTGTACATATCTCATTGTACATCTCAGTGTACATATCTCAGTGTACATATCTCTATGTACATATATCAGTGTGCATATCTCAGTGTGCATATCTATACTACAACATCTCCTTAAACATTGTGGAACATCAACAAACAAGTATGTACACTACATCACATACTGTGCGGAACATAGCTGAGTCAGCATCCTTGTACCACTGGGCTTGTACTGTCAACCACTGATCTGTCTGGTCCAAATTCAATGATGTTCTGGCACCCTTGATACAGATGCAATGATTCTGAGGGCAGCACAAATCAACATTCACTCACTCACTCAAATGAGGATTTATCATTGTCCCAGTCCAACCCTACATACCATTAATGATAAACACTGACCTGTATCACAGATTTCGGAATAAACAGCAACTTCAACCTAAAATTATGTCATCTTTTATTGTTCATAATTATCTTGCATAATTAATATATGTGTTAATATTTCAAGTGATCGAATAGCAGATATAAAGAGAAGCAAATGAAACACACATACTGACATGAAAAATATTAACCATGGCAAAATAGAAAATGAAACAAACATATACATATAATATATATGTATGTACATAGATAACAATTTTTCAGCATACAACATACACACACACACAAAGCTATAGATGCAGAATCAATTCCAAACTTCAATGAAATAAAAAAATAAATTTATAGATTTATAAATATAACATATAAAAAAATCATCTCATGAATGTATGATTTATTTCCCAAGAAAACATTTAAAATGTTTTAAATTCTTAAGTAAATGCATTCTAACATGTACCGGTACATATGTCCTCTCTGTTTCCTCAATCATATAAATGCAAAATTACATAAACAGTGACGAAGCACACAATCAACAATCAGAATGATGTACAAAGATTTGTAAATGAAGCAACAATTAAAGATCCTATTGATACTACGTTATAAGGATCGATACTGAAACGTCGCCTTTACAGTATTAAAGAAGTTGTCATCCATAAATTGTGTCTACTTTGTCATCCGTCAACTTCTAAGTTATGCCTATCAAACAATTCCTACTGCTACTGTTAAATTACCATGCCGCGTAATAACTTAAAACGCTTCCACATGGCGACAAAGCACTTCTCCCAATTAACTGGCTTTTGATTTCTTAGCTTGGCGGTTCAATTAATTGACTAGATATGTGTTACTGGATTTTTCTATTAATTTGTGATACATTGTATTTACCTGACAGTTTCATTGCCCATCACTGACAGCTTTTAATAAAAAAGCATATTTATTTCCCACTGAAATGCTGAATTTTGTTTGATGTGTCTCCCTTCACCGTAATTTCCATTTATCGTGAGAAGCTACTTGAATATTCTTATCCTCTTAATACAGCCACTGGATCGAACCACCAACATCTGACTCTCCAGGCAGATGCTCTGTCTGTTCAACCATGGAGGTGGCATGTTTATAAGAAAGAGAAACAACTGTATATATATACAATTTAGAAAAAATAACATATATCTTTGTTGCAGTATCATACTCATATCTCATACTAAAATGTATTACAGAGTTGAAAAATATAATAAAATTCATACAGCAACAACAACAGATGGTAACAAAACAGGGGATCATGTCTTCCTAGAGCAACACTTCATACTGTGCGAGAATCGTACACAGCATCGAGCAAGTCGCACAATTGTCACAATTCACTGATTTATCGGAGCATCACAATATGACTGTACAATACATGATACACCTACCCATGTATTAATTCATATTTTATGCACATCAATTTTTAAAAAGAAAAATATTTAACTTATCATTCTTGCATTACCTTAACCCCTAAAACATAATATATTACTCAAAAGAAGTTAAAGAACACCTAATTCTTTGGTTTAGGCAGTACCGGCCAGGGGTGGGGAAAAACTGGCCCAGGATATTCTTTCCTAGGAAAGGTTCCGCCTGGGCTATTTTGTCCACAGGGAACAGTTGTGAGTGAGTTGTGTTTTAACGCCGCTTTTAACAGTATTCCAGTTATATTGTGGTGTGTCAGCTTTATGTTGGAGGAAAGCTCGAAGTGATGCAGGTCTCAGACATTTACCACTTTGGTGAAAGCACGGGTTTGGTGATGACAAACCTAGAAACATAATCGGGGCGAACCGGGATTCGAATCCACTACCATAAGTTTCTGGCGTGCCAAAGGGACGCAACTCTGCACAGCGAATCGTGACTGGGCCACCCGTGCCCCCACAGGTTTAAGAAATCTTTATGAAATTATCAAATATGTTCACAGGGAAGAACTGGCCAGGAGAATTAACCATACAAGTGAAACACGAATAGGTTTACAGCAACCTCTTGGCAGCTGGACTGTGTGGAATGTGGAGACCTTCTTGCATGAACAGTAAAGATGCTTTGCAATATGTATCATGACGCAAGCACTGGAATATGTATCGATACATGAGGTAGGCGTATCGTAACACCCATAGCAAGTAAAAATATAAAGAAGCTGATATCGTATATGAATTAATGAGATTATGTTCCCAACTGCTGGAGACAGAGCTCACTGATGCTAGCTTCTGCCAGTGAGATTCTGACATCACAACTTGATGATTAACATTGCGACAATGATTGTCATCCTCATTCTGAAATAAAACATAATAAAACATAACATGTAAACACCAGAGAATGATCAGTCTTGATTATCTGTCAAAAGAGATTCCATTGATTGTAAAAAGGCAAAATAGTGGTGAAAATTATGAATGGATCACTGTGAATCGGTGATAATACAATATGTTCATAAAAAGCGACACTCATCGCAATTGTCCATAAATTCATGACAAATTGCTTTGTGATGCATATAAAGGAATGAAGACTTAGCTTTCATCCACGTCATTGACTCTGAAGGGCAGAGGAACAATGTCAGTGATTTTACCCTTCTCTTCTCTCACACACATTTCAAGGTCAGCCAATTTGTATTGTCTGTTTCTCAACACCTGCCGGACCAAAATCCCCACCTATTTTAGGTTAAATGTTAAGGGAAAGTAATATTTATCAGTAGTTATTCCAATGGCACTATCTTCTCTCAGTATAAAGCAATGAAAGAGACCTCAACATGTATTTTGTTCAGCCGAATATTTTTTCACCACTTTTTTTTTATTAAACATAGGTTCATATTTTACTTGGCTATGTACCACAAAATGAAAAAGGTATATAGCAACAATAACTGTCAGGTGTCGAACAATTTGACATGTGTCCAATCATTTAACAGGTGTCGAACAATTTTACAGACGTCTGATAATTGGACACGTGTCTAACAATATGACAGGTCTCTAACAATTTGACAAGTGACAATATGATTTAACAGGTGTCCAACAATTTGACAGTTCAAGGTGTCCAATGATTTGACAGGTGTCCAATGATTTGACAGGTGTCCAACAATTTGACAGTTCAAGGTGTCCACTGATTTGACAGGGGTCCAACAATTGTCCAGGTGTCCAACAATTTGACAGTCCAAGGTGTCCAATGATTTGACAGGTGTCGAACGATTGTCCAGGTGTCCAACAATATGTCAGGTGTCCAACAATTTGACAGTTTGTGTTGACAGGTCACTAGCAAGGTAAGTTTGGACTGTGTCGTGGTGGTCCTCCAGGCCCTTCTCGTCCCTCCTGAACACCTGCAACAAAAAACAGAACACACCTGCAATAAAACAACGCAACACACCTGCAATGACTCATAGCACAATGACCTCTCATCGAGCAAAGGTTGCTGGTGACATTAGTGTTGGGAATTGGTTGTAAAATCATGCTTGATGACTGGAATGTCCCAACGGATCAACCATCAAAATCAATCGGTTAGAATCAATAGTTTGCTTGTTTGTCGTTTAATGCTTCACTCAGCAATATTCTAGCTATATGACAGCGGTCTGTAAATAATCTTGACCAGACAATCCAGTGACTGATATCATGAACATCAATCCAAGTAATTGGGATGCGAAGACATGCATCAACCAAGTCAGCGAGCCTGACCACTGGATCCTGTTAGTCGCCTTTTACGGCAAGCATGGGTTGTTGAAGACCAACTCTAACCCAGTTGTTCACGGGTTTCAAGTCAAGTAAAACTAGATCCCACAAACACAAATTCTTACCTCAGCAGTTTATTTATAATACAGACACTGGCTTCACTCTTTCTCAATATTTTGCTCCAAGTACTAAGTACTAAGTACTAAGTACTAAATATACCTACTCAGGAAACAAAACTATTGCAGGGATGAGAGAGGGGATAAATTGTCTATGTTCCATTTTGGATACTTATGTTTGTTCGGACCTTCAGATCAATTTTTTATTATTTTAATAAAACTGAACATCAAATTTTGGTCAACACTGCAGACCAACATGTATATGTGTGATGTAACATGAAGACTGACATGTCAAGACAAAACTGATGTGTGTTTATTTGATAGTGATATGTGACAATCATAGTGATAGTGAAAATATAAGTAACATGTGTTTGTTTGTATAATGCCGCACTCAGCAATATTCCTGCTAAATAATCACGTCTGGACCAGACAATCTAGTGATTGACATCATGAGCATCGATCCATACAATTGGGATACGATGACATGCATCGACCAAGTCAGCGAGTCTGACCACCTGATCCCATTAGTCGCCTTTCTTGACAAGCATAGTGGCATGGGTTGCTGAAGACCTGGTCTACCCCGGATCTTCACGAGTCAGTAACATGTGACTTCTGATAAGTGGCATGGGTGGGCGGGGACATCCCACAAAGTAGGTAGGTCACCCGGGGCTAAAAAGTTAAAAGATATATCACAAGGAACTGTCAATAGTCACATTTGCGCAGACCAGTGGTTGATAGCACGAGCAACGATCCATGCATCAGGAAATGATGACACAATCAGCAGGGCCACACACACTGGAACTAATCAATCCTCAGCTCTTGTGGCAATCAATGGATCCTTCAGACCAGATAATGCCTTGGAATAACCGAAGGGTTTAAGGCTGCTTTGAACAGTGTTTCAGTTAACAGTTAAATTTGAAAGAAAGCAGTGATGCAGGTCATAGACATTTATCTCTGATGAAACCCATGAGCTCAGACCATGGATCATAATCATTGTGAATCTGGGATTCAAACCAGTGATCAGCAGATCCTGCAAAGAAAGGGGGACAACTCAACTTGTAGGGCTAGACTACTTGTCTGCCCATGTTCTTTTCACATCATCAGCAACTGGATGAGTGAGTGAGTGAGTGAGTTGGGTTTAAAACCACTTTAAACAGTATGTCAGCATTCTGTGGGACAAAAGACAAAAATGACGCAAGTGTTAGATGTCGATGAAACCCACAAACAATTGCACGCCTCTGACTACTGTAGCCTGATGCTTTATTGCAAAATATATTTATTGCAATATGTACCATAACATACTGCATGGGTTTTATTCTTCTGTTATTTGTTATGAACTTTAAAAAAATGGACCAATTCATTGCACTTTCCCCGAAAATTTTACAACTTGTAGTTGTCCGCCCTTTTGTTGAATAATGCGATGGTTACAAAGTATGCATAATAGACACATGATATACAATTTTTTTTCTTAAGAAGGTGGTTGCGAATAGTATTGCTTTCTCAATCACTTGAATCAAGTTACAAACTTATGACTTTCATAATTTCATTTCAAATCGTCACTTTTGTAAACTTTGTAAACAAGAAAATATGCATGATTTTTAAAAACGCAAAATACCGATATTTTCCAAGCATATTTTGCAACATATTCATTAGCAGTTCAGATTGTGGTACACCAGTATACTGGAAACCTCTAACAACGAGGGGGAATCTGGGACTAGTATCCTGATCACTGCCATGCCGAAGGGTTTTCAGTATGCATAAGAGATGCAACCGGGTTAAAACTCAAAATAGAGTTGACATGCTATGTATTTGAAAATACAAAATAAGTCCAAAATCTTTTTGAATAAGGCAAAATATTAAACTTGGCCTCTCGATATAAATGAATGTAGAAACATGTTTTAAAAGTGGTCTCAGGTAAGAAAAGTGATATGTATTTACTATAACTGATGATGATCATGATGATGAGGATGAGTAGATTAGAACGCTGCATTGTAAAGACGTGGACCTCCTGGTGCTACACTTCCAGTCACACCTGCAAGAAGCAGTTTACGGCTCTTTATCATCAGGAATACTCAACATGAAGCCAGATACAGTGCATGCAAGGGCACTTTCAGAGGAGATAACTTTGATGACAGGCCAGATGGAAGGGAGACAATCCTTAGAAAAGTGAGTTGGCAGACCATGTGCTTAGATGGTTTTGTCCAGATGACAAATAGTGAGTGAGTGAGTGTTGCATTGTGTTTAACGCCATACTCAGCAATATGGGATGTGATGACATGCATCAACCGAGTCAGGGAGCGTGACCACCCAATTCCATTTGTTGCTCTTACAAGGGCTGAAGTGAGTGAGTGAGTGAGTGAGTGAGTGAGTGAGTGAGTGAGTGAGTGTTTCAAGCCCACAATCATAGGTTTCTGGCTTGCCCATGGAATGCAAATGCAGGCAAATTGCAGCGCCTTTGACAACTGGGATACCCATGCACCCAGATGACAAATAGGTTTGTGTTGTGTGCAAATACTAATAACTCGCCTTTATACTGCAACTTCAACCTCAGTATTCCTTCTTATACTTATGAAGTTTTACCACATAGAATTTCATAGTTTTGTACTCATTGGCAGAGACATGAAATAGAAAATCGTGGCCCTGGACTATGATGTTTGAGATTGTCAGATATGAAACATGATGTTTGAGATTGTCAGATATGAAAAATGATGTTTGATATTGTCTGATATGAAAAATGATGTTTGATATTGTCTGATATGAAAAATGATGTTTGATATTGTCAGATATGAAAAATGATGTTTGATATTGTCAGATATGAAAAATGATGTTTGATATTGTCAGATATGAAAAATGATGTTTGATATTGTCAGATATGAAAAATGATGTTTGAGATTGCCAGATATGAAAAATGAGAGTTTGAGATTGTCTTATATGAAAAATGATGTTTGAGATTGTCAGATATGAAAACATGCAAGATTGAGACTGTCAGATATAAAAAAAAATGAGAGTTTAAGATTGTCAGATATAAAAAAAGATAGTTGTGATTGTCAGGCAGAAAAATGAGGTTTGTAAACATCGAAAATTAATGCAAACTGTTATCCTACATTTTAAAATAATAAATATAACAACATATATATTTAACAGTTTAAAATATAAAGACAGACGATGAAAAAATATTGCCGTCAGCATTTATATTGAAACAGTTTCTGCATAAATAGTGCAGTGTAAGGAACTGCATTTTGAGAGAACGTAGGACTGTGACCAAAGTGCAAACATGACAAATGAAACATATCTTTTGAGCCCCACCACTAACAACCCATAAAACAAATTTAATGACATTTTGAAAGAAAATGGGTCAGTTATTGCAATAAAAAGTTGTAGCCGTCAGTATGGAGAACGTAGTAGTGTGGTCAAAGTGGAAAGGGCAGATCAAAATTTCAAATATCACAAAAAGGAACATGTATGTTGAACCTCACCACTAACTCCACTTGTACCAAAGTTCTTTCAAGTTCAAACAAAAAATAGGACGTCTCTGTAGCTCACCTGTACATGAAATCAACAGTTTTAATGCCAACAAACACAGCCACTTTACAACAGTTGGTGCCTGCATTGCTATTCCAATATTTTCTGCATAAATACTAAGACCAAGATTTTTTACAAATATGAAAAACAAGTACCGTATTGACATAATTAGCCGCAAGGGCGCTCTCAAAATTAGAAACAGGGGGCTCTTATTAAAACATTATTTTGGTGAAAAAAGCAGAGTTGAAAGATAAATTTGGGGGTTTATGCTGACAGCCTGAAATGTTTATGGATATATTTTTCAGAATTTAATTGCCCATAATTAAGGGTGCATATAACACATGAGTGCATATTATACCCGAATAAATAAGTCTTGAGTACATTGATCAATCAGAAGAGGTGCTAATTGGGATTGTTCACAAGCCAATATATTAGCAAATATCGACGTGGGCACTTATTACGTCGAATACGGTATCTAAAGTTCCATAATGTACACAGTTTGTTGCAATGCACAAAAGTTAAGTCTACACAAAGTTTTATCTCTGAGCCTTCAAAATATTTCCAATTGTTTCATCCATAAAAAATATCTAAGGATTTGAACAAAAAACAGTAAAACACGGATATAACAAACTACAAGGTACCAGAGAAATCAGTTTGTTATATCCGTTGTTCGTTATACACGTTTTTGCTCGGAAACGTCCGCCATCTTGGATATGTATATGTATTTACAATTGTACTAAAAATGCAAAGATAGCGGGGGATATGGATCACTATGTTTTGTTGTTAATAAGACCTTTCCCTACGCCCCAACATTTCAAATTCTGTTTAAATTACCTTTTTGTGCTACAGAAACAAGTCTTTGGTACTACACTCTAAATCCCATGGATTTGTTCTCACGATATCACCTTCCTTAACTGCTTTTCTAAAAATAGTTTTAACACTTTTAACATGTGCAACATAAACCCCAATGCATGAAAGAAGGAAGAGTTTTCCCTGGAAAAGTTAAGATTTTATTATTGATAGTTTTCTTTCAATAATCTATGCAAGTCGCAAGTTTGAGAATAGGCTAAATAGACTATTTTATATACAAATTTAAAAAGGTTGATCCATCACTGCTGATTGAATTGATTCGCCGCTGATTGCATACAGCCAATTGTCAGTGACACTTGACACTGAGTGAGATTTCTCAGTTCGCTATACACGTCACGTAGTTAGTGATAGATGGGCTAGTCGGTGATCAGATATCAGTTCGCTCGTTATATATGTAAATTTTATATGATATTATATAGGAGATAAACCGAGGATTTTTTAACAGTTTGTTGTATCCGTTTGTTCGCTATATCCGTGTTCGTTATATCTGTGTTCTACTGTATGATGTTACACATGCTACAAGTACAGCTTCCTAAGTCGGGCAATTTCAGTGGAGAGGACCAAAAATGCCCTTTGAGATAATATGAGAGCATAACAGTGTTTTGTTTGTTGTTTAACATATCAATCAGCAAAAATCCAGCTATATGACAGTGGTTTACAAAAAATCAAGTCTGGACCAGAAAATCTAGTGATTGACATGAGTATCGCTCAATTACAATACAAGGACATGCAATCAAATCACATAGCGTGACCACCCAATCCACTTAGTCACCTCTTATGACCAGCACATGCTGCTGGGGAAATATATCCTGACCCGAAATGCATTACAGTAAATTTTGATCATAAATGGCTGAGGAGTGGCAATAAATAGTTTTTTTCACTATAACTGTGATGGTTGAAAATCAGATTCAAGCCTCTTGAACAAAGTCAAGATTCATCATTAGCAGGAATAGGCACGTAAAACTTCGGCTTCAAGACGGACACACGGGCCTTCACATCAGTTCACTTAACTTTCAGTCGGGTGAACCCAAAATTTTCAGTCAGGTGAGATCCGAAAATGCGCTCACAACTTCATGATGCCATACCTTGGACAATGTTATTATTGAGAGGGAATAGTCCAGTTAGTTGTTTCCCGTACATGTAGCTGGGCTACGCAGATAAATGCAGTAGCCGAATGATCACATCAAAATGTGGGAGACTAACAATATTAAAAGAATAGGTACAGATAATCGACGTGAGGATTGTGATAATATGCTGGAAATACCAAACTCAACCGACCTCTAATGGTTTATTCTCCCTGCAGTATTCTATTGTACGATAAAGAGCTTTTGCTAAAATGTTTGCCCTGTTTGTTCATGGGGCCGATTGTGTTTATGAACATCAGATGGCACCTCCTAATTCATGACTCTCCCATGGCACCACTGCCGAACCGGTCCACACAGTCAGGTAAAGCTACACAACCAAGCTACATTCAGATAAAGCTACACAACAAAGCTACATTCAGTTAAGCTACACAACCGACCCAACCCTGTCACACTGGTCCACTCAGTCAGGTAAAGCTACACAACCAAGCTACATTCAGATAAAGCTACACAACAAAGCTACATTCAGTTAAGCTACACAACCGACCCAACCCTGTCACACTGGTCCACACAGTCAGGTAAAGCTACACAACCAAGCTACATTCAGATAGAGCTACACAACCAAGCTACATTCAGATAAAGCTACACAATTGACTCAACCCTGCCACACTGGTCCACACAGTCAGGTAAAGCTACACAACCACGCTACATTCAGGTAGAGCTACACAACCAAGCTACATTCAGATAAAGCTACACAACAAAGCTACATTCAGATAAAGCTACACAATCGACCCGACCCTGCCACACTGGTCCACACAGTCAGGTAAAGCTACACAACCAAGCTACATTCAGATAAAGCTACACAACCGACCCAACCCTGCCACACTGGTCCATACAGTCAGATAGAGCTACACAACCAAGCTACATTCAGATAGAGCTACACAACCAAGCTACATTCAGATAAAGCTACACAACCAAGCTACATTCAGATAAAGCTACACAACAAAGCTACATTCAGATAAAGCTACACAACTGACCCAACCCTGCCACACTGGTCCACACAGTCAGGTAGAGCTACACAACCAAGCTACATTCAGATAAAGCTACACAACAAAGCAACATTCAGATAAAGCTACACAACCAACCCAACCCTGCCACACTGGTCCACACAGTCAGATAGAGCTACACAACCAAGCTACATTCAGATAAAGCTACACAACAAAGCTACATTCAGATAAAGCTACACAACTGACCCAACCCTGTCACACTGGTCCACACAGTCAGGTAAAGCTACACTCAGATAAAGCTACACAACAAAGCTACATTCAGATAAAGCTACACAACCAACCCAACCCTGCCACACTGGTCCACACAGTCAGATAGAGCTACACAACCAAGCTACATTCAGATAAAGCTACACAACCAAGCTACATTCAGATAAAGCTACACAACCAAGCTACATTCAGATAAAGCTACATAACAAAGCTACATTCAGATAAAGCTACACAACCGACCCAACCCTGCCACACTGGTCCACACAGTCAGATAGAGCTACACAACCAAGCTACATTCAGATAAAGCTACACAACCAAGCTACATTCAGATAAAGCTACACAACCAAGCTACATTCAGATAAAGCTACACAACAAAGCAACATTCAAATAAAGCTACACAACCGACCTGACCATGCCACACTGGTCAACACAGTCAGATAAAGCTACACAACCGACCTGACCCTGCCACACTGGTCCACACATTCAAATAAAGCAACACAACTGACCTGACCCTGCCACACTGGTCCACACAGTCAGGTAAAGCTACACAACCGACCTGACCCTGCCACACTGGTCCACACATTCAAATAAAGCTACACAACCAACCTGACCATGCCATACTGGTCTACACAGTCAGGTAAAGCTACACAACCGACCTGACCCTGCCACACTGGTCCACACATTCAGATGAAGCTACACATCCGACCTGACCCTGCCACACTGGTCCACACATTCAGATGAAGCTACACATCCGACCTGACCATGCCACACTGGTCCACACAGTCAGATAAAGCTACACATCCGACCTGACCCTGCCACACTGGTCCACACAGTCAGATAAAGCTACACATCCGACCTGACCCTGCCACACTGGTCCACACATTCAGATGAAGCTACACATCCGACCTGACCCTGCCACACTGGTCCACACATTCAAATAAAGCTACACAACTGACCTGACCCTGTCACACTGGTCCACACAGTCAGGTAAAGCTACACAACCGACCTGACCCTGCCACACTGGTCCACACAGTCAGATAAAGCTACACATCCGACCTGACCCTGCCACACTGGTCCACACAGTCAGATAAAGCTACACATCCGACCTGACCCTGCCACACTGGTCAACACAGTCAGATAAAGCTACACAACCGACCTGACCCTGCCACACTGGTCCACACAGTCAGATAAAGCTACACATCCGACCTGACCCTGCCACACTGGTCCACACAGTCAGATAAAGCTACACATCCGACCTGACCCTGCCACACTGGTCAACACAGTCAGATAAAGCTACACATCCGACCTGACCCTGCCACACTGGTCCACACATTCAGATGAAGCTACACAAACAAGCTACATGTGTCATTATCGACTCTTACCTGGACTCTCATCCAGCAGCAAGGGTCGCAAGTCTTCAGGTCTGGGGACAGGGAAACTGGTGTCCCGGATATAGATGGGGAAATATCTCCGGCGCAGCATGTTGAACATGGGCATGAAGACTAAGTCACTGTACAGTAAGATTCCGACCACAACCAGGATGAATCCCAGTATCTGCAGCGGGTGCCACTTCTGCCAGCCAATTCCCAGAAACACTGCCCAAGATATCATCGATGCAAAGCCATCCAGCACCATTCTGGCTATGGCACCATGTTTCTTGGCAAAGTCGATACCAAAGTAGTAGTAGAAGGCAACACTCACGACACATCCTGAAAATCAAAGAATCAAAGACTTCAGGAAGTTATGGAACCATATAGAGTCATCCATAGTAGGGCTGAGACGAGTCCAAATTAACTACCCGGGTACCCAACCCCTTATTACCTGACCCTATCTGGAGACCCGCTGTAGGTCTTAAGAGATGGGTTCAAAATGTCAGATTGGGAATAGTTTGACCGTAGCCCTGGCAAAACGTAAATAGATACACAAATAAAATGATCATGTCATGCACAGAATGAAAGTTGACAGAAGCTTTATCTTTATTCAAACATATAAAAGTCAGAAGGAATTGGTGCATAGTCAGAAAAAATGTGAATATTAGTGACTTGTATTGCAACCATGGATTTCTTGATCATATTTGTAATTAAACAATATATCACATGACTCATCACGGGGAGTCCTGTGGGTACCCGGGCCCTACTCAGTACCCACCCGACCCGAGTACCTGAGTTGCCCGTCCCAGCCCTTATTCATAGTATTTCCTTGTACTTCTTTTAGGCATGACTTGTGTCAATAAAATTCAATTTGTTTTAAACATTCACCAACATTTTGTGGAGGTATTAATCTTTACTTTAACATTTTATGTATGGCCTGCTGGAGCGAGTGGGAGAGAATTAGTCAAGATCTTCACTGTCCCTGTAAATGGTAAGCTAATATGAGAATACTGTAAATCTGGAATGTCTTGCGCCATGAAATTATTGTGAGTGTCTAACAATAGCCTTAACTGTGTCTGGAAAGTTGGATGAGATAACAAAAGCTACTTCTGCATGTGTTACTTTTTATGAGTAGGAACCTAATTAACCATCTCATGAACTTTCCTGATCAGACTGTTGTGAGGGATTATTTGTTTAATCATGTTTTGGCTGGTTTGACAGTATATGGAAGTGTAAATAAGAATATGCCTCCTTATGTTTTTTGTTTGTTGTTGGTCTGCAAAAGTAACTGCGTCATGAAACTATTGAGTGTGTGTCACTTGCAATTTTTTTCAGAACTTTCCTGCTCACAAAACTTTCCAGACTTACAGTACCAGGAATGATTATTTCCTGTAATATTTCACAAGAGCTGAATTCTTTTTAAGTTTGCATAAGTCTTTCTTGTTTGACTCAATTTGATGTGATGTGAACCCACCAATGAAGGCCAGGGCAATTTGCCAGGTGCTCTTGATCTGCATGAAAGCATCTTGGGGATCTTCCAGTCGGTTTTCAGGAAGGACGCTGAAGGCTCCAGTCTTGATGAAGTAGAAGGGGATCAACAGGATGACCGTGATGATGAACCCGAACAACCCTGGGAATAAATCTTGTTGATGAGCACAATGATACAGCAATAAGAAAACGAATTGGAGAGTGTGACTGGTTGAAATATTCACCTGTTCAGTTCTGCATGGAGAAGTCAAGGAAGCATATTTGGCCATTCATTATATTATGACATCATACCAGAGTTAAGTCATGTTTGTCCCACAGCTGTTTGAGTATGGTTAGAAAGAGTGTGACAACACACCAGCCAATCACCTTCTGTCTCATGACTTGGTTGATGCATGTCATCTATCCTGATTGCGTGAATCGATGCTCGTGATGTCGATCACTGGATTGTCTGGTCCAGACTCGATTATTTACAGACCGCTGTCATATAGTTGGAATATTGCGAAGTGCGTCATTAAACAAGAAACAAACACACAAATTCTGTCTCGTGCTTACTGGAATCACAGTGTAGTTAACAACAATCAAGCATAGCTGCATGGCCTGTAAAAAATCCTTTTCTAAAAAGAAAATATCCTTGATATATTTTCAATGGTCAACAAGATTCAGCTTTGATGAAACTAGACCTAACGGCCGGTATACCAGAGGTGACTGCTTGGTACCCACCTTCCAGTCCCACTGCCAGCAGAGGATGAATGTTGTGTTTGGTGACAAACTTCTGCTCCAAGACAACCTTGGTTGCTGTCATGATCTGGGCCATCACAATCAGCAGATCCCCTGAACATGAATATTATTGTCATATCATGAATTTGTATCACATACTTTCCAATTCATAACCGCTCTAATGCCCTAAGACCATGATAGATCTAATTATTACCCTGGTCACTGGATCAGTGTGCACTCGATTTTCATTCTCAGCTCCCTGGGGAATATACAACCCAAGCTGCCTGTGAGGCACTAGAAGGTTTCATCTCACCCTAGTGTGGGTGAATCTACATTAAAACCATCTTCTGATGTGGTAAGGTTCTACTCTGCTTATATTGTGATTTAGAACAAAGCAAAACAATATCCTGAATTGATCTATATTGTTTTTTAATACAAGGCCATATTATTTCTATTTTGAGGTTTAAGGATGATCTTCAGCAGCCTGCCTGGCGCTCAGCGTTAAGGAGCTAAAACAAGGACTGGTCTGCTCGGAGTCAGTATACTGTGTCAGAGTGGGGTATTCATGTTAAACTGTGGCATGGTATCTCAGTGGGCTAGCACTATAAATCGGCATCAGTCCGGACTAGTTCAAGCAGCCACACATCCACACACACACGTGCATGCACTTTGCTATATAAGTGCAATAATCTTGGACATGACGTTAGACCCCATTTCACCTCACCTTAAAGGAGCCAAATATTACAATAAGAATTAAAATATATTAGGTTCAATTTATATTTATGTACCTAAAAAAATAAAACAACAAAAATCCCACAAATCATTTCAAATCCATCTGATGAAGAACCCCAAACCAGTTTATGATCCTACACACCTTCAAAAAGTTGTTCACCAAATGAAGCTGTAGTGTAGCCTTGAAACATTACAACAATTGTCATCTGTTCAAATTTCAGGTCCATATTAGAAATATGATGAATATCTGTGCATAATTGTCTCACCTGCAGCAATTCCATAAGCATCATACTTGGAACTTGGAGGAAATATATAATCCCGGATCCCGATGACTGCCATGCCTACGATGGACACGCCTATTCCCACCCACATCTGGGTCTGAAGGTTCCTGGCCAGGAACGCCACGGACAACAGCGACGTGAAGAACAGTACAGACCCTGCAGGGAAGCAGTACACGTGACATGGGTGAGGGGATGAAAGTGCTGGCATGTCGATGGATGGATGGATGGATGGATGGATGGGTGGTGGATGGATGGATGGATGGATGGATGGATGGATGGTGGATGGATGGATGGATGGATGGATGGATGGATGGATGGCAAAGCATACAGTGGACATATAGAGAATCTCACCCGAGTATCTTTTGATTATGATTTGTTTTTGACTGTCCCATTTATCTGTTCTCAGTTGTGAGAGTATACAGGGAACTTGCATAACTTGCATATTTAAACAATGTTGTTGTTTTTGTCTCTCACGGTTACTCAAGTCTGGATTAAACACCGGAAGCCATTGTTTCTATTGGTGTTATTGCATTACACGCGGTTGGTTTGAAGTTCGAAGACATCTCAAGTGTTGTCTTACCAATCACAACAAGCAAGTATTAAATCAGACAATGCAGCTTAAATATTTTGGGAGCCAAGGTTTACCCCGCGGTGCATCTGGAGTTGCGGTACATCGAGGAGCGTTAGATCACGGAATCACTATATATCAACACGAGTTGATAAAAGTTCCAACAACGAGTGTTGATATATTTGATATCAAAAGGGATAAACACTGTGTATTTACCTCGTCAAGGCTTGCTAAATACAATGTTTATTCCGAATGCAGGATATTAACCATCCCCAAACACACTCGCGTGATAACCTGTATAAAAGTTACAGAGTTTCACAACTTCATCTAGTACAGGAGTATGAGAGATAATACAGATAACAGTTTAGTCAAAGCATTTGGTCAATGTAACTGCTTGAATAAATACCTCATCCTTGTGAGAGCTGGCAAACTGTGTCTTTATTTGGGTGTGCAGGTTTATAAAACTCTCATGAAATTCTTGATCATTATGACTTACAAGTTACAAGACTTATTTTCGGTGAAATATCTGATATTTAATTCAGAGTTCTGCAATTGTCAACTTAACTGTAACAGTAATCTGATTAAACAACACTGAACTCGAAATGGAAGATATTGTTCCAGAGTTGTTACACAATCAAGGGGGGCAACTCTGTTATAACCAGGTGATTACCTCCCTTTGCCTTACCTCTCAACATAATGTAGCTGCTGGAGTATGTGAGTTTCAACCCAACATACAACATCCCAGTCTTGGCCAGGTCACACAGCGCACAGGGAATGAAGATGAACTTGTTCCATGTTGATGGTTCCTGTTCTTGCAGCTGGATAAAGTTTGCTGGGGTTCGGATCGGCGCCGTTGTTGGTCGTTCCCCAGGCGTAGGTCTGTTCTGTGCAGAGTCTTGAGGTAAGGTGAGGGGGATGTTGTTGGAACTTCCACATCGACCGAAGACGATACCATAGAGGAGAAGGCAGAACAGTTCACCAAAGAACTTGCCACATTGCTGCAGGACAAGAGCAGATGGATGAATGAGTGAGTGGAGAGGGAATGCTACTTTGAACGGTACTGAAGTTATAGCATGGTGTGTCTACATGATGTGGGATCAAAGCTCAAAGTAATGCAGGTCTTTACCACTTTGGTGAAGCATACAAGCACGGGTATGGTGCTGACAAACATTGACTCCCATACTTTAACACTGGAGCTAAGATAATTGTAACTCCCATACTTTAAGATAGGCTTACAATATGCGTAAAGCTAAGATAATTGTAACTCCCATACTTTAACACTGGATTACGATAGGCATAGAGCTAAGATAGTCGTATCTCCCACACTTTAACACTGGATTACGATAGGCATGGAGCTAAGATAATCGTAACTCCCATACTTTAACACTCGATTACGATAGGCATGGAGCTAAGATAATCGTTACTCCCACACTTTAACACTGGATTACGATAGGCATAGACCTAAGATAATCGCAACTCCCATACTTTAACATAGGCTTACGATAGGCATAGAGCTACCGGTAAGATAATCGTAACTCCCACACTTTAACGCTGGATTACGATAGGCATGGAGCTAAGATAATCGTATCTCCCACCCTTTAACACTGGACTACGATAGGCATAGAGCTAAGATAATTGTAACTCCCAAACTTTAAGACTGGATTAAGATAGGCATAGAGCTAAGATAATCGTAACTCCCACACTTTAACACTGGATTACGATAGGCATAGAGCTAAGATAATCGTAACTACCACACTTTAACACTCGATTACGATAGGCATGGAGCTAAGATAATCGTAACTCCCACACTTTAACACTGGATTACGATAGGCATAGAACTAAGATAATCGAAACTCCCATACTTTAACATAGGCTTACAATAGGCATAGAGCTACCGGTAAGATAATCGTAACTCCCACACTTTAACGCTGGATTACGATAGGCATGGAGCTAAGATAATCGTATCTCCCACACTTTAACACTGGATTACGATAGGCATAGAGCTAAGATAATTGTAACTCCCAAACTTTAAGACTGGATTAAGATAGGCATAGAGCTAAGATAATCGTAACTCCCACACTTTAACACTGGATTACGATAGGCATAGAGCTAAGATAATCGTAACTACCACACTTTAACACTCGATTACGATAGGCATGGAGCTAAGATAATCGTAACTCCCACACTTTAACACTGGATTACGATAGGCATAGAACTAAGATAATCGAAACTCCCATACTTTAACATAGGCTTACAATAGGCATAGAGCTACCGGTAAGATAATCGTAACTCCCACACTTTAACGCTGGATTACGATAGGCATGGAGCTAAGATAATCGTATCTCCCACACTTTAACACTGGATTACGATAGGCATAGAGCTAAGATAATTGTAACTCCCAAACTTTAAGACTGGATTAAGATAGGCATAGAGCTAAGATAATCGTAACTCCCACACTTTAACACTGGATTACGATAGGCATAGAGCTAAGATAATCGTAACTACCACACTTTAACACTCGATTACGATAGGCATGGAGCTAAGATAATCGTAACTCCCAAACTTTAACACTGGATTACGATAGGCATAGAACTAAGATAATCGAAACTCCCATACTTTAACATAGGCTTACAATAGGCATAGAGCTACCGGTAAGATAATCGTAACTCCCACACTTTAACGCTGGATTACGATAGGCATAGACCTAAGATAATCGCAACTCCCATTCTTTAACATAGGCTTAACAAAATGCGTAGAGCTGAGATAATCACAACTCCTATACTCTGACATTGGATTGACGGTAGGTGTGAAAATGACTCTGGTCAACTTACCAGGAAGAATGGATGTGCAAATGCATGTTGTTTATGCTGAGTGAAGGCTGTGGTGTTGGTGTGCTCAGCCCATCTGGAGGAATAAAACAAAATAGAACATTAGCCCATGACTGTACAATACAGGAAATATATGTCTTTTGGTTTCTGAACATCATCTGCCAGATGAAACATTGAAGATTTCGGGGTTCCAATCTTGGGTTTGGTGTTGGCAGTGTGTGTGTGTGTGTGTGTGTGTGTGTGTGTGTGTGTGTGTGTGTGTGTGTGTGTGTGTGTGTGTGTGTGTGTGTGAGGGTGTGTGAGGGTGTGTGAGGGTGTATGTGAGAGGGTGTGGATGTGTGGTATTGGAGTATTGTGTGGTGTGGGTCTGGATGTGGTGTGTGTGTGAGGGTGTGGATGTGTGTGGGTGTGAGGGTGTGGGTGTGGGTGTGGGTGTGGGTGAGGGTGTGGATGTGTGTGGATGTGTGGTATTGGAGTATTGTGGGTAGCGTTGGCTGTGGTGTAGTTGAGCGTGCAGTGTGAGGGTGTGGATATATATATGGTCAGAGCTCCAGATAAGCTTTTGGTGTTGTGGGTATTTTAACCATGCATTTTAAAATCACTGCGTATCAGGGTATTCAAATTTCTGTTACCCACTAGTTTTCACACATGTGGGTATTTAAGTTAAATATTTAAAAACACTATTCATCTAGTCCCTGCAAACTGCAACCCTGTTGTGTGGGTTCGAGAGCTTTATAGGACTCAAAAATACCACGATACTTCCACAAGAAAGTGTGATGGCAAATGATCATGATGTAACTGTCATAGTGGAGTTTGGCAAGGTTGACGGAATGCCCGTTTATAATTTCAAAATAAGTTGCTGATGTGCCAATCGAATACGCAGGGTTACTTCACAATATTTTGAATATACGCACAAGTTTTATTTTTGTAGGGTATCTGTAATGTTCGTTGCGTATTTGATACGCTTGGATATTATTTTACTGCGTTTTTCTGCATTTCTGATGCGTATTTTACGCAGATACGCAGCTTATCTGGATCTCTGTATGGTACGAGTGATTTTAGTGATGTGGCTCTGTGAGTGCAGGGTTTGGGCTGTTGAGTAGAGAAGGGTACGGTGTGAGGGTGTGGATGTGTGGTATGGGAGTTTTGTGTGGTGTGGGTCTTTGAGGGCAGGTTTGCGGTGGCTGATGGTGGTGGTGACTGGATGGTGTTAATCTGAGGTATGGCTGGGACTTCCATGAGAGGCCATGTAGTAATGATCTGATCCTTCAAACACTGAAGTTGACACAAGCTCTATCTTTACCCAAACAGCTAAAAATCAGAAGGAGTAGAGGCTGTTTTTTCACGGAGGAAATATGGTATAAGTATCTCAATTGTCTGGACACAATCAGAATACAACTGGGTGGTACATTGTTAACACAATTGCTCATTTCCTTAACCATGTCATTTGAAAGTTCAAAAGTTCACTATTATATTTAATCATGTGTTATTACTTCCTAGCTGTTGCAAAGTTTTTTTCTTGTGTAAATATTGTTAATCTTTTCAAATTAACTTAAGTCACATAATTGATTAACATAATATCAAATTTTAAGACACAGGTCTTAGAGACTTTCTTGAGACAAGCTTTTTAAACCTTTCTCAACAGACACTGAAATATAACAACAGAAACATCCACATGTCCACAAGTCGTTCCACACAATCAACTCATCAATACCAACATATACACAACATATATCTTAATCTTACCCTTGGGATAGAGAATTAATGGCTCCGTTAACAATGAAGAAGAAGCCGAAGATATTGTTTTCTGTGCAAATCGACATGTCTGCTTTACTCTTCTTCCTTCTCTGTTTATTTAACTTCCTGGTAAAGACTTTCGTGTTAGGCCTTTCCAATTTTACACTACCCGAATGTCTATCTTCTTCCTTGTCAATGTTGAGGCTGTATCGTCAGGGAACTATTGTTGCCATTGTGATTGGTTATCAAATTAATTTCGGTTTCACATCGAACGTTGTCAACTTAGCAAGGTCGAAAAGAGTAAATTAATTGTGGGTTTTCCTAAATCAAAGGGACATAACTCCTGAACGACTCTCTCCCTCGCGACTGAGGACACCGAGCCTGTGGCACAACTTGGGTTGGGACGGGCAACTCGGAAACTCAGGTCGGGTGGGTCATGAGTAGGACCCGTGCACCTACAGGACAGATTTTTATATGTTTGTATACAAACATAAATACACGTATACAAACATAAAGCTGCAGTCAACTTAAGTGTATACATGACCAGATCGATTTATACGTGTATCTAATTTATAGTTTTTTGCCATGGCTCCGGTAAAATAATTCTTAATCGGACAGTTTTTACCCTACCCTTTGAGACCGACAGCGGGAACACGTATAGTAATTTTGTATTCGTCCCAGCCCAAGATTCATCTATTCATAAATCTGACACGCGGTCATAGTGTATAATTAGTGTTCGAAGCGGCATTAACCCAAGTCACCCACTCACTCACCCTTTGTCGTTGAATGTCACGCTACAAATGGTTGTGTTGTGTCTTGCATTGTGCAATTTTAACAAGGAATCGCGTTGTTTCCATATTGTCAAAAAGGACCCAGTCATTATGAACATGACAGAGTAAGTGAGCATGGTTTTCATTGGTCCATATATGTGTTAATATAATACAGTGGTCAACTAAAGGTGTTGTAATTCGCTGCGAAGAATTGTGCCCCTTAACTGTCGTGATCCGGGGGTTGGTTGTTCGGATTCGAGATTCGCCTCGATTGATTTGTAAACACCGGGCCCGCCGTTTATCCGAGCTGTGCCCTTTGATTTTTTCAACTCTCTGCATTTAACCTTCGCATATTTTTAATATATTTTTTTTCCCCAATCGTCTATGAAGCCGGAATTGATTGAAAATAGTTACGTCCCTTAGGTATGCTAGGAACCTGTGATCGCGGGTTCGAATCTCAGATACGCCCTGGTTATGTTTCTAGTTTTGTCCACACCATACCCGTGGTCGTGGGTTGAACCGAAGTGGTAAATGCTTAAGACCTGCATCACTCCGGGCTTTCCTATCAAGGCAACACGTCGTGATATTACTGAAATTCTTCTAACAACAGCTCAGTCATAATCCAGTCTGAACTTGATTTCACCTATGATAATCTTGGGGACATAAGTGGTCAGCGTGATGTTGCGATCACTTCGTGATATATCAGATCAATCAAATCTTATCGATACCCTCTTTACAAGGTTAGATGTCAGGCCAGTTAGTCTGTGACAACTACACATGCATACCCATCAGTCATTGGTGTGCAGACTCTTCCATTTAACGTAAACGTCTGTTCAGACTATAGAGTCGGTCACTGTCTTTTCCCCAAAAACTTAATTCCGTTTTCGATTTTATTTTTCTAAAATCCTTTCAACCAAACCTTTTTTAAATTTTCAGCAATATCACGGCGGGGGACTCCAGGAATGGGCTTCACGCATTGTACATGTTACAGTCAATGTGTGAAAATCAGCCTATGTGTAAAATGACTGAAAGTTTCACAAAGGCAATTTACAAAACGCAAAACTGATATTTCAGTCATTTTACAATTATGTTTCCAATTACAATTTTATAATAAGGAATTCCAAACATTTTAATGCTCTAGTTCATCGCCCAGTGACTGAAAATGATTTGATTTAAAGAAAACAAAAGTCAATTTATTTTTTATAAATTTTTGCTTCTAATCTATTATTATTATAATTAATCTATTGTGATGTTTTAAGCCCTATTGAGCTTCTTGATAAATTTTAGCTTATCTGTCATTTTACGCATTGACTGTAATATATATGTACCCAAATGGGGAACCCGGGCATTCGGCGTGACAAGCGAACGCTTTATACCACACAACCAAACAATCCCCCAAACCCACTGGAAATAGACGCTATTTGAACAATGTCCCAGTGTGTGAGCTTGCTTGTGTCGTTGTTAACATTTTGTTTGTTGTTTTACGCCGCATTCACCAATATGTCATCTATATCCTGGCGATCTGTAAATAATCCAATTTGGACACGACAAACCAGTGACTGAAAACATGAGCAACGTCCAACGACGTCGGGTGCGATGACTTGTAATCACCCAAGTCTCCGAGGCTGACCACCCGATCCAATTTAGTTGACAATTAGTTCAGCAATCTCTTTTGTTTAAGGAATTTTCGGTTCCGAGACCCGTGTAGATCCGCCGTGGATTGATGCTCATTATATCAATCACTGGATTGTCTGGTCCAGACTCGATTATTTACAGACCGCTGTCATATATAGCAGGAATATTGCTGAGTGCGTCATTAAACAACAAACAAACAAATGTTCGAGTCCGTCACTAATGACAGTCTGTGTAGGAAACAAACTCCTACAACAAACATTGTTTGTCAAAATCATATATCCGTCCCGATATCTTTATGAATTTCATTCCTGTTCCGGCAAAGCTAGTATAGATAGAGTTGTTGACAAGAATGTGGCTGCATGGTTATATGCAGAGATCACGCATCATTCCTGTCAAATTATATTTCCTCGGTATATTTTCATGTCAGACGGTATTCAACATCAAAAGGCGCAATAAAAAACGCATCCGATATTTAGAAAAATAAGACATCCACACACGCACATCCTTTGTTTGCGGTACAAAATATTACGTCAACCTTGTATCGCTCAGGGCCCAAATGGGATCGCAGTGTTTTCGATCAAGCAGTTTGCCTCAGGGTTACAGATTAATGGGCGGTATTCGATTAAATACACAGAATGCATGGCCAATAAGGGGTTCAACGACGTCACCAGTACAGCAGGCCTTTCTACATAGGGGCAGCCTAAATAATAAGAGTTTTAACTAGTATATTTTTATATATTTTTAAGTTGTTTTGTTGTTGTTGCTGCTGCTGCTTTATCAAGAACAAATTTAAAGTTATAACAAAACGTCAATATTTATTCAAATTAAAATATTATATATAGAGAGTCATTTTGTTGTCGAATGGTTACCGTGCGTGCGTATACGTGTTCGTGAATGTACGTTTAACGCCGCACTAAGAATATTCCACCTATATTACGGTAGTCTTGAAATAATCGAGTCAATCTATCAGACAACCCAGTGATTGACATTAGCAGCAACTATCCTGCCGATCCGTTAAGTCGCCTCTTATGATCAGCATAGGCTGCTTCAGGGGCCAATTCTTACTCGGAATCCCCACGATTTCTCAATTTACTCGCACAGGCAAATGGTTAGAAAGGGATGAAGAACAATAAAGGCACGTTTTGGCCACCTCCCTTTGATTAGCTGCAAACCTGATGATGCAGCCTTGACCAATAATATCTAAATTGATTTGAAGCAGAAACATGCCACCAGCTTTGCATGTGAGGAGAAAGGTTTTAGAGTGAGTGAGTTGGGTTTAACGCCGCTTTATACAGTATTTCAGTTATATCGCGGCGTGTCAGCTGAATGTGGGAGGAAAGCCCGGAGTGATGCAGGTCTCAGACGTTTACCACTTCGGTGAAACCCACCAGCACGGGTATGGTGCTGACAAACATAATCGGGGCGAACCGGGATTCGAACCCACAATCATTGGTTTCTGGCGTGCCCAAGGGACGCAACTCTGCGGCGCCTTTGACAACTGGGCCACCCGTGCCCCCAAAGGTTTTAGAAATCTTTATGAAATTATCAGATATGTTCGTGTGAATGTAAATTAGACTTTTCTTTCCCCACTTCCGCCTTTTTAACACGTAACAACACCAAATACTGAGGGAAAACCAAAATCGATGGACTAGTCTCTCATACAAATACTGAAACAAAATTTTCCGAAACAAAATTTTCCGAAAGTTCTTAAGCAGATCTATAATAATTAAACAAGTCTCGATTTGTTCATTTCGCGAAAATGAAGAAATTGTCTGGACGCATTTCTTTTATATTGACAAGACAAAAAATGATTTAAAAAAATCTGTAGGTAGTTTCATGACCGGGAGTAAATGGTAGCATAATTTTAGACCTGTATCTAATTTGGATTTCTTCCTCAAGCTACCAGCGCTCTCACGTCTGTCAATCAATCAATCAATCAAAGTTTATTCCACAAATAATGAATTAGGTTTAAACAGTGATACAGTACCGGCAAATTGTAATAAACAGAAGTTGGCATTATACATCGTAAATAGTTTTCTTTGGCACGACATACTTCGGTTTGACGGTTGCTTATAGGAGCAACTTTAGGAAAGTTCGGCTTCACACTGTAGACATGTGACAAATAACAGGTTCTTTCCTTCTCCAAGTATTGACATTGAAAGAAATAATCAATTCATCTCCGACATTTATTTGTGGTGGAAGAAAGGTCGAAAGCAGTGATGCATTTAGAACATGATGTCATGATGTTGTTTCCTTTGCTGTGTTTTCAACATTGTCCCTCTGCTGCACAAGCCCGCATCTACAACGCACTGAGGGAACAGCATAGAGGAACTGGTTAAATTGCTACATTTACTTCTTGAGACGATCAGAAGTAACGTTTCCAGTGTTGATGTCACAAACTTATATCTTTACCTGATTAGAACATGAATGACTTCATTTTCTTTAACCACAATTTGTTCTCATTGTTCTTTTGAAATGATCATGTGTAACGCCAACAACTCGAGATTCTGATCATATGTGGCAGACGATCTGTATTCTCAGCATGATAACCATTCACAGCCTTCTTCAAAATCTCACGTCAAGTGGCGGAAAAGACCGATGTTAATGTTGTGTCGGAAACTTCCATATATGTACATTTCCGTACGATGTAATTTGACCAATAGCTAAAACCTTTATAATACAGTTCATTGACAGAACGATGCATTTCATTGGTTTAAAATTGTGACGTTGTGCGCATGTTTTGATGACAGTTGTCAAAATTGTTAACGAAAGGTCACTACAGAAGTATATCGCAACATTTGTCGTGGAAATAGTCTTCTTAATTGTTCGAGCATACAGTTCGAAAGGCGACGAAATGCTTGGGGGATCATTCTTTGAAGAGGATCCATTCTTTGCGTAAGTATTATGACCCATAAATCCACACAAGCTAAGCGATATGTCCGGAATCGCGACCACCTGCACACGATCTCGAAGAATTTTCCCGAGTTGTTTTCCTTAGTAGATTACTGTGACGTATATACCCATTGTTCAGCTAATATAAACCATTAGGACACAACACTGTATTTGACAATGAAGTCGTACATATTTTTATTTCTGATGTAACAACTATCCACAGAAAAGTGGAACTCGTGTATGGTGTATACACCCAAGCTGACGAGGGCCTACTCGTTATATCGCGAGCCCCAACTAGCCTTGTGTGATCATTTGACGCCCATTATACTTGTCTGTCCAATAACGTTCTGGGCAAGATGTATGAATTATTTTCCTTAATTTATTGTTACGTATTGTACTTAAAATAATGATAATAATAATAGTGTAAAATTTCAAAAGTCAAAGAACAAAGTGTTTTAGGCTATCTGTCTTTCCAGTTGATCATTTTGATACAGATGCAATACAAAGGTAGTGATTTACATGACAGGTTTTTCCACCCCTGTGTTAACATGACTATCAAGGGACAAAATCTGTATAATCAAAGTGTATATCCAAGTTCATCACCATGGTCCATATTATGCTGATAGGATTATTTCCGTTTCCAAGAATTGTTGTGAAATCAATGATAAAATATTTTCAAATTACATGTATCATGGAACTTTTAGTTAATTTTAATGTGGATAACTTTGGGTATGGCATTAATATGGGAAGTACTGAACTGTACCAGATGCAGAGGATCATACTAGCATTGCCACCTTGAAGCTTGTCTTGTCTATTCTAACTACAAGTGTAGTAACTCGCCAACACTGTACCATGGGACCACAACCGCTATCACAGGTTAAATAATGCTCATTTTGCCTTGTAATCCGCACCTTGATTGATTTGTTTATTTGCCTTGATGTGCATGTGCTGTAGCCATATTTTTCACAAAAATTGACAAGCATAGTACTGATTTAGCCAAAATTTTAGCCATTTGGTTAATTTGGTAAACAAGGTGACATGTTCAGCTTGTCATGCAACCATTGTTAACACTGTCAACACCATTAATTGTACTGTGACATTGCATCAAAATAAACATAATAAAGTTCATGTATCTGGTTTTCCTCTCCATATCAGGATGTTCTATCATGTCTATAGTGTGCATGCTTGGGGGTTGCAGTATAACTGTTATACCTACGAATTGCAATATGACTGTCAGCAATACACATATCCTAATACTACCCTTGTGTATTGATATTTTCCAATACGGTCACAGAAGATTTATGATTATATAAAATTACATCTACTTTCTAGGGGCCTTTAGATAGACTTGGGACCCATGAAGAATCAGGGTAGAATAAGTCTTCAGCAACTCGTGCTTGCCATAATAGGTGACTACGGGGTCAGGTGGTCAGGCTCGCTGACTTACCGTAGTTGATGCATGTCATTTTATCTCTCTTACGTGGATCAATCATGATACCAATCACTGGATTGTCTGGTCCAGACTCAATTATTTACAGACAGTCGTCATATAGCTGGACCATTGCTGATTGTGGCATAAAACAACATTCACTCACTCACTAGATGGATTCAGTTCCTATCTAAACCATGTAACAGCACACACTTCATGCTGTTTACATTAACATTTCAAATTGATAACATGATACATAGTCTCTTTTGTCTGTCCCATACATCTCGCAATCTGAAGTCTGGATTATTGAATGAAGAAGTACCATTTGCACAGTACAAATATGTGTAGGGCCCCAATAGGTATTGCAATATGTATCGCAATACAGCTCTCCATTTTGCAATTTATTGGAATATGTTTTATATACCAATACACAAACCCTATAGTGGAGCATCAGTATTTCATCCATGTAAACAACATACTTTTCAAGTACAATAGTATCCAATCGCTTGACTTCTTTCAAATAACTTCAGTAGGGTGACATCATCAATAAGAGAACTCAACTACATGTACTACCGGGATGTTACATGAGGAATGAAGAGTAGCATATTACAGAAGAGTAGCGTATTACAGAAGAATAGGCTAGCATATGTATTAATAGAAATCACATTTTTTTGTCACATTATGTTAAACCCAAACAGGTAGTCCTTTCATTCAGTATATTGTTTGCAATTATTACGAACACATTATTGTGTGCATGAAAAGTCTCGAGAGTTTGAAACCATAAGCTTTTTTTATGTTATTGTGCGGAATTGCTGCAAGTGTGCAGTCTGGAAGAACATTTGAAAAAACCTGTAGGGGGGCCGGAAGAGGAGCTGGGATTTTTTTTGTTCTAGAAAGTGCAGGATACATTTTACATGTTTTACACTCCAGAAATCCTCCTTTCAAAGAAAAGGGTTATTTCTTTGAGCATATTGAGTAAAGCGACCGAAAAATATTCTGTTTGTAACATGTCTAACATAACCAAACATGATAACATTCGCTATATTGCCTGTTAAATTATCAGTCCCCAAACAGTAAGCTTCTCAAAAGTGAGCCAACTTGAGTTGTTGAAGAGTATATTCATGCTATTAGTGCTATGGTCTTGACTCGATTGGTACACTTCTGTTGTTAGACTGCAAACCTCCCCCCCCCCCGAGTGAAACATTCCACTGATAGTTGGTATCTTGGCAAGTGCTCATCACATTTCTGTCCTGATCACCTGTTCATTTTAGTTCCTCTCTTATCTCAATATACTGAAGTCTTGGTTGTTCACATGCAGACTATCTTCTTACATCACAGTACACTAAACATTGCTGTTGTACAGCTAGTCTCTTGTCTCACTTGCTTGTCTGATTGCTGTCTTGTTTGATAGCTGTGTTGTGTCTGATAGCTGTGTTGTGTCTGATTAGCTGTGCTTGTTTGATTCCTCACCTTATGTCCAGCTTGCCATTTCGGCATCAACTTGCCAATTTTGTTTTCATATCCTATACCTGCATGACGCTGTAGCAAGCTACCCAGTTGCATGAAGCTGGGTCGGAATGTTGAGTCTTTTGTCATCCAGACCATAAAGTGACTGATACATTGACAGTGGGCTAGCCGAGTGGCAGTTGCTCATCACGCCAAAGGCCCATGTTTGATTCCCCTCACGGGTATTTGGGCTGGGCTTGTATGTGTGAGCGTGGTTAGGTTTGGGTTATTGTTGTGGCCTTGCGTAGATGTTCATCGTGATTCATGTATAAGGTCAGAGTCTGTGCCAAAAACCTTCAAGTCTACTTGCCAGAACATGGCTCTAAGCATAATTTTCAATATAGTTATCACATGGACTATTTATGAGTGAGCTCAATGGACCAAACAGAATTTGCAGACTCATGGCTTGAGCAGACAGTCCATAAACTTTAAGTATGGATATTATATATAATACATTACCATTTGTTACATAATTGTTACATTTGAAAAGGTCTTTGAATGATTATACTCCTATATTCCTGATTATTTTCCAAAAGGATTCATTGGAACGTTAATTTTATTTGTACGCTGTTTTACATCATGTACATGTGGTGTACATCTGTAGTATTGTCAATGGTATGCATTAAAATCGATAGCTTCAATTAGTTAGAAATAAAAAATAATTGATGCGAATTCTAATCCTGCCTGTGTTCAACTTCAGAATAAAGTTTCTATTCTTTGTTTTGAGTAGAGACAGGGAGGAAAATATCCAACTTTATTCATGGCATATACATTGATTAATATGTCATGTACATTGATTAATATGGTTATCAAGCCAATTGCCATGATTGCAATTTGTGTGGGCTTCTATCATGTGTCTATTGCAGTACAGTCGCAATAGTGAAACTAGCCCAAACAGTCACCCCTAATCAACATAGTCATGATGTCATGCTCTTATGTGCATGATTGTGTCATTTAAGACATGGACCATACTTTCTCTTTCTTTTGTTTGCATGGAAAGGAATTTAACTACCAGTACAAACTGTACCATAAACATAGCGATGACGTCAAAATAAAATTACAAACGCACTGATTGGCGCCATTTCCAGATAACCCCATGTTGTGTCAATTGGGTAGTTTGGCACTGCAGGACTGGTGCCAATTTCTGTCACTCTATGGTAATAACTGTTATTATCAACATCTACATGGTCAACACCCTACTTGTCCCAGGTCCTGCACTTTCTTCAATGTTTAATAAACTCACATAGCTGGAATATTGCTGAGTGCAGAGTTAAACAAAAACAAAACTTGCTTGTGCTATGTTCTGTCCATTTTAATTTTTTGGAAATAAGATTATATAATCTGATAATAGCTGAAGTTTGTCTCTTGTGACTCTTGTCAAATATGAGTCGAGAATGGAAATTCCACTTCCACTTTCATTTTGCCACCGTGTATTTGTATTCTTGTACATGTTCATCTCCTGATGGTGTGAACAATTGCTAAAAATAGAATGTTGATGGTAACCATGGTAACAGTTGTCATTGTTGTTTTTGTTGCATCATTGAATGTTATCATGTGATGAATTCTGGAATGAGTTGGATAACCAGTAATATTCACATTCTACGAACACCTCACACTCAACATGCTCAAAGACGACAGAGCCAGAATAAACAAGTTATTGTTTACACGCAAGTGGAAATTAATACTGTTGCACATAATCATAGGATCTTGATGAATACCAGACAAGAGTGTATGTAGTCTGTTTTGTTGCAAACTGTATGTTCTCATTAACCCAGGAACAGTCTCAATCATGTCAATACTCTCACTCACAAAGAAGCTATTTTAGGCATGGTTGGCCGACGACTGTGTGAATAGAAAAGTGTGACTCTTGTTGTGCCAAGACATGAATTATTAACTACTTTTAAGGCACACGTGATCACACATTCCATTTGACCTCGACACAATATATCTTCATGGTACAGCGGACATGCATCAGTGATTATATTCAGCCTGGGGCTAGAAGTACAAACCGCTCAGTCGTTTGAAAGACGCGTAGGTGAATCTGAATGAAATCATATTGGCAAATATGTAGCATAGCATGGGAAGAATGTTCTCCTATGTCACAGACCATCCTAGTTTTTTGTGGCGACAGTTTTTGAGTGAAGAAACAACATATATCAACGAGGAGACACGTGTCACATTCAACGATTGTAGGATGTGAGTATTATGCTTACGTTGTGCTTATTATGTATACATACATTCGTGAATAGCCAGTGTGACACAGTTGTGATCGTGTAAGAAAGGTTGCAGAGTGAGACAGCATTGATCTGAAGAGGTAATGTATGCATTAGCTTGCACTTACCATGCTTACACTATGACTGGGTAGAACAAGGAGTGTCCTGTGATGGGAGATCATCGGGTACAAATATTGACAGAGGCTTGTTGTGTCTTGTTTGATGAACTTGCTTAGGTAAGGGTTTCTCTCTAGAGCTATCATTTCCTCCTTTCTGATGGGTAGATTTTCGTTTCTGGTATTGCTTTTACATAAAATTACATGTTGAAAAATCAGTCAATTCGCCAATATTGTTTTCATGGCATACACATTATGCAGTGGTACCTACCTGGGTAGGCTCTTTCTTATGAAACAATCACTGGATTGTCTGGTCCTGACCAGACATGTTTATAGGCTGATCATATGGCTGGACTAATGCTGAGTGTGACCTGAACAACTAACATGTATTTATCATTTTCATGTTTTCAATGTTGTTTCCAAATGTTCAAACTAAAGCAAGGATCAACATCAGCATGTAGATCTGTCACAAAAATTAACACCTGGTTTCAATAAAGGTGGGGTTTTCTGTAGAGCATCTTACCTTGATAACGTCAGTGCCAGGGTTAGAACTTGACTCAAAAGCTTCACTAGCCCAAGTAAAGATAAAATGCCCTTGTAATGTAAAAATTATGGGGAAATATGGAATTTTATACCAGCCTACAGGAATTCGTACCAGCCCCGGGTTAATGGACTAGTGTAAATTTCTAACCTTGCAGTCCTTGACATTTCCTACTATGGTATTTGAATTAAGCGATTCCCTACAACTTTTAACAAAGAAATTGAAATGATTAGGGCTATGCCCACCCCCCCCCCCAAAAAACAACAACAACCCCAAAACAAACAAAAAACAACAACAACAAAAAACATGACAAAGTGTCCTTGACATCTCTTGAACATGTTGAATTTTGAACACTGTGTACATGCTATTCACCACTGATTTTCCTGGTTCAGATTTGAATGTTTATAGGCCACCCTGACGTAGCTAGAATATTGCCAGATTGCAAGTTCTGGTAGATTCTTGAACCACTGATTTGCCTTATCCAGACTTGATTGTTTACATACCACCTTAACACAGGGTTAATACTGGTTAATCATGAATAGCTGGAATATTGCCATATTGCAACTCAACTAATTTGAGATTCCTGGTCCATTATTATGATCTGTTACTGACTGCATGTCAACATGGTAAAGGGTTTGGAGGGTTACTGAGCTGTAGCTAGGAGGCGAGATGTGTGACAGTATACAATCCCTGGAGTAACTTTAATGTTAGGTCATTCTGACCATGACATTAACACATAAAATAAATTCCCTGTGTATCAAATTATTAACATGTTGTATCATGTGGTCGGACTCCATAACTGGTCTTCATGATTTACAATACCAGTTTACAATCCTGTAAATTGTAATGCGAGGGATTTTGTAACATGCAGAGATTTTGTGTATCGGTAATGTATAGAATTGTCTTGTAAAATAACCCGCAATCAGTTTTGTGGTGCGTGTTGGTGTGATGTTAAACAAACAAAATATGTCATTGTCAATGATTGGGAGGGCTTGAATTAAGTTTTAAACCCTTCCTACCTCCATGTCAGTTTTTACATGGTTAATGACTTTTGTTTGGTGTATTCAAACTTTCACGACTTATGACGTTCACAACATTCAACATGCTCAACCCCTGCATGTTAATGTAAACGTATCATTGTTCCTGCATGTGTCTACTTTGGGTAATAAATAATCATATGAAAGGTTATGATGTACAGCTGTCTTAGGTACAGCTCATAGTGAGCAGCACATGGCTTGCTGCACATGCAGCTGACAGCTTTCCCAATCAGACATACAATGATGTGTAATCCCTTATAATCAATGATGAATTTGCAGGCTGCCTGGATGTAAACTGTTCTCATCAGATAATCATGGAAATAACTAATATTGCTCACTGTGGCATGTGACATTCACTCTCACTCCCTTTCTCTGTCTCAAGCACTACATCCCTGTTGGGAATCGGTTAGAACCTATGCTGGTCGCAAGAGGCAACCAAATCGTGGCTCACTGACTTGGTTTGTAGCATGTCATTGTACTCTGATATCAGTAACCTGATACTAGTGATAGTCTAGCCCAAACTCAATTGTGTACAGGCCGCTGTCACGTCGCTAGAATATTGCTGAGTGCGTTGATAAATAACAAACAAAACAATACTCAAACAACACATAGGATCTTCAACCTAATAAAACATTGTTTTGTTGACAGTGGCCACCGTCAGCAAATGCAGCAGATGCAACAGTTGATGAACCCGTTCCCCACAATGCATCATCACAACATGCTGGAGGCGGCCCCAGTCCACCCTCATGTCCGAAGACACCAACAACGCAGAAACACCAGAGAGAATCAGATGGTTCCCTTCGGCATGTTTGGAGCTGCTGATTTTGGATTTGGGGATATGTTCCGAAACATGCGTAAAATGATGGATGATATGCACAGATCATTTGTAAGTGGAACACATACTCAGCCATTTCCACATGCGCAGGCTTGATAAAGAGTTCTCTCTTGAAAAGTCCTTTAGCTTCATAGTTTTACAAAAGTTTATAATCTATTTAGCAATGTCTTTAACCAAGATGCAGGGTTTTATTGAGGTCTGCTCAGGGGTGAATATTCAGACCCCATTTCAGCAGCAAATGTCAGTAAGTATTCCAAATCGGAAAAAACAAATTTCCTACTCATGGTTTATAGTATTAACTTATGTTATGGCTTTGTGACTTGTATTTCACTGACCAATTTGATCAAAATAACACATTTTTCCCAAATTGCCTTGTCTCCTACCCCCAACACATCTATTGCCAACATGTTTAATTGCTATTAGACATGTTTTCTCATGTACATGGTGTATGGACTCAATAATAACTGAGATTGTGAGACAGAAAGAGAACCTTATCAAGACTATGTTTGCATGAACCTTTTGAGAAATTTACAATAGTTGTAGTGTTAATAATAGGACTTTTGTGGAATGCATCACAGAACTGTTCCTATTGAATTTGAGAAGGATGTTTGCAAACGTATGTAACCAATGTTAAGACCATGAAGCAGTCCAGACAATGTCCTTTTGATTCCGTTCAGTATTTGCATGACTGTAACCTGTTCCAGGGTCAGCCAGCAGTAGCCACTCCCAACAGCCACATGTTCACCCAGTCATCGTATGTACAGTTCAGCAACAATGGTCAAGGGCAGGCACCACAGGTGTACCAGGCCACTTCATCGACACGACAGGCACCAGGCGGGGTGAGTGCACCTTACAAACACTGATTCTATTCTCACTTGATCTGTGTACCTGTGTCACTAGCAGGGTACAGGAGTTTACTTGTACCCCACGAGACAGATGGCTAGACTTTTGAACAAGTAATGGTGTGTTTTGGGCAAGAACAGGTTTTCAATATCAAAAAACTTCATTTTCCATGGCCTGATGATGTGTTTCAATTGCAAGAATGTTATTTTTTGTGATCAATATCTTGTGGGCAAGAACATGTTGAAATTTAGTTGTTAAAAAATTGTGCTCGAGACTCAAAAATATTGGTTCGTGATGACTCTTGGTTGTTAAAGACTAGGTGAAAAACTGTGATGGTTATGATATTGCAGGTGAAGGAAACTCGCCGCACAGTGCGTGACACTGAGTCAGGAGTTGAGAAGATAGCAATTGGTCACCACATCAATGACCGCGCCCACATCATCGAGAGGTCACAGAACAGGCATACCGGGGATCGGAATGAAAACCAAGAGTACATCAACCTGGAGGAGGGTAGGATGTCACAATGTTTGTAACCAAGGTCACCTACATCCCTGAGGGGAATCTGGGTTAGAATAGGCTGGTTGTCAGAAGCAACTGAATGGAACTGGTGGTCAGACTTGGTTTTTGCTTCTTGATTGATTGCATGTCCTCGAAGCCAGACTGTGAGTTATTGCTCACATTATCAATCACTGGTTTGTCTAATCCAGACTTGATTATGAACAGACTGGAACATTTGCATTGGACAACGAGCAAAACAAGGCTGGTTGCATACAAGCTTTAACAGCCAAGGCTTTTGTCTGGTGGTAGTTATGCTCTGATATTTGGGTACTCTAAACCAATCCTTCCTCTTTATTTTTACTTTTTCCCATGAGGATTCCAAGTCACAGTATCCAATGTTTGTCGAAGCTGAATAACTCTTTGACTTGGCTCAATGTGTGTCATGGTACACTTAAGGCAAGGATTGTTGTCTCTGGTTTGCCTGGCCCAGATTTAAATATTTACAGCTTGCCAGGATGTACCTGGAATATTGCTGACTGCTTCGTTTGTCATCTTTCACCCACCCACTGGTGTATTTTGTTTACCTTTCACTCGGGGGAGAATTCTGCCAGTTATGTCAAGGGAAATTTTTGTCCTATTCTTTGCTTGTGATGGTGTTATGTACTGTAGTACATTTTTGATGGACACTTGATGTCATGTTTACAGAGGAAGCCCCAACCTTTGACCGTGAGTGGCAAGAGAAGACGCGTCACATGGCGCGAGGAATGGATCACCGCCGTGCCCGGCACAACCCCATCGGCAATGTTAGGACTGGCCGGCAGATGGCAGCACTACCTGAACCTAGACCAAGGATTCGCAGAGATCGGGAATAATGTCTTTATAATTTATAGTAAGTAGTTGCAATTTTTGTCAGTATTTGTTACAGGTTAATTTTTTTACTTATAGTTCATTGCTATGTCTGGTGCAATAAGGAGTAATGCAGAATGAGTATACAATTTAAAACATATTTAGTTTGGGTGGGGAGGTGATATCTCCAAAAATTTCAAACTTATCTTACAGCTTTTTTACTGCCTCTTATTAATTGCACAAAACAACATTCACACATTTCATTTCTACTTCGGGCAATAAAAATATTATTCAGATTTCCGGTAGACGTGGTACAGCAATCTGTCACATGCACATAAAATTGGTCAAACTAGTGACTGGTGTTTTAAAAGTCTGTGTCTGAACCAGTGTTTGTTTTTTTTTGCCCATCTTTCTGACTGTTTTGTCAGGTTTTTTTTATTTGTGTTGTTTTTTGTTTCAGATTGTGAGTGGATGCCTGAGCCGAGCATATTTCTCTGAGGCTTGGTTGATCCTGTTTATACCTGTGTGCACACAGAACTATCAGCATTGTGGAGATAATCTCTCACCTGTGTTTCTAGAATCATTGGCAATCAACTGACCTCATTTCCTCTGGAATACTGATCCTTGGTTAATAACTGACAAATATTTTCTTCTGTTGAATCCACCTTTCAGTGTATGACAAAATAAAAATTCTTTGCTAACAATACATTCCTGATCACACTGATGGAGTTCCAGGTGTGATTCACATTTCGATGTTTTTTTGGTGTGATTCACATTGCAGTATCTTTGCGTGATTTAAATTGATATCTGGTGTGATTCACATTACAAAAACATGTGTTTGGTGTGAGTTACATGATGTGTGATTCCCATTATAGCATTCTGTGTGTTGTTCAAGTCATGGCGTTTTTTGTTATTCACATTATTGCGTTCTGTGAACAATCTGTGAGATTCAAATTCTTTTGATTTGTGAGAATGTTGGAGAGCCCAGTAACATCTGTTTACACAAAGTAAGCAAATTATGGTTTGTTTATATTTTCTGATCTTGTTTTTTTTTGCGAATAATATTATTTATTTATTCAATAGCATTTTACACATTGAAAGATGGTGCCTTGGCAGCATTCTTGGAAATGCTGTTTTTGTTTCGAATATTCTATTAACAAATTAAACATGTTTAAGGTGGTTTCAACAATGAAGTGTTTTCGTCAGTGGCACCGAGTCAGATTATTGTGTCTACAGAGTTGATCCATCCTACAGACAATTGTAGACTTTCGATGAGGAATACAGCAATGTTAAATAGAGGAGCACTTTTTTCCCATTTATGAATGTTTTTGAAGATTCCAGATAGACTTTCTGTGGAATCGTGGGAGTGGTATTCATTGTCGGACTGATGTGTGGTAGGGTCACGATGGTTCTTGTGTAAATGCCTTTTCTGTTAACTCAGTTCTTGAAGCAACTTAGAGCTGAGGTGTCATCAATATTGCAAACTTCATCCTTTTTGTCAGGTAACTTGTTGAGGGTTTTCTTAAAGGATGAGGGTAAGTGGGATGACATTTTTTATATTTTGCGAAGATCCGATGGGTTATCACATACAAGCTTATGTATATGTGTGTGTGTGAGCATTATGTTACACATCTTCCCAAGGCAAGAGAGTTAACTGACTTTAAAAGTCCAGTTTCCCCCCTTGCCGAACTAGGCTGGAATTCCTGGGCTCGATCGTAGCCCCACCAGTGGTTTTTACGAGTTATGTCCCTTCTATGCCTCTCCTATGGACCAATCAGATTCAACCTCTTGTATCACTTGCATTTGTTTCAAACAAAATAGCGGCACCCAGTCAAGACGATCTGATCGATAATCAAGACCTATATTGTGATAAAACTGGTCTTACATCGCGAAGTGCATCAAACCACATGAGCACCTTGATAAAAAACATGAAAAGACTTGGAAAATATCTGTTGACAACGAGTTGGCGGTGCACATGCTTTGCAAATCCTGCAGTCGACCGAAATCTGCACCACAGTTTACTAACCGGATTTCGATTTATTTGCGCGATTTTGATTGGACTTATTAGTCCAGCCAAAATGTAACTCCATAATACCTGCCTAGTTCGGCAAGGGTGGAAACTGAAACTTATACAGTCAGTTAACTCTCTTGCCTCGGGAAGATGTATGTAACATTGCTGAGATGTAGGGATGTCGTTGTATACCACTCGACAATTGCTGAGGTCCACACCAATGACTATTTGGTGCTAAGCAAATGTTGAGTTGTATATATTTCGCGATATCAGTGTATCATTTTTTAATGTTGATAACGCATCGATTCAATTCCATGAATATCCATAGTAAATTAACAATTCACTCCCAAAGAAAAGTTTACATTTGTGTAGATTGCCATGGTTAAGATCGACAATAGGAAGTCAGAACCTTCAATTTTAAAGGTTCATGGATCAGCCTCATTCATTTTTGGCATTAGTTGATTAATTGCACGTCCAGATAAGAATTCTTTAAAGTATTTGTTATTAATCGATATATTGTGATACTTTTGATTCAATCGTTGACATCCCTAATGAGATGCTGCTTCAGATACAGCAGCAGTATATATCCCAGCTTAGTGTAAATGTTAGATGATGTACTTGAATGATTTAAATAATTACAGAATGATTTGTCTCCGAAACCATGTGCCACATTATTTAACTTCTTGTACTTCATTAGTTACAAAAGAATGCATTTATATAATTCTTCTATGTCACACAAATAGTTTGGCTGAGTTAAGTCTTTATTCTTGGGAAATATTTGAGAGCATGAGGACTTTTGAGATATTGGCATACCATCAAAATCAGTGTTCATGCAGTCATGATAATCATCATCATCATCATGTACATTGTCATATATTCTGATATCACAGAATAAACCAAATATTAAACTAAAGTCACAAGATTTTCCGCCATAGTTTCAACATGCCATTCCACAGTAACCATAGTAATCGAGCCTTCTATTCCAGTCAGAAACACTATTTTGATAATCCTTCATTTGAAACAAGATGTAATGACATTATTCTGTTAATCCTAGCACTAATATTAATCCATTAAATTTTGTGACACAGTTTATGAGGCTCAAAAAGAAACAAATATTCTTGGTTGTCAAACAAACCTGTTTCTGCATTCAGACAAAAAAGAAAATTGTGACACATTTTCAAAGGCCAGAGACCTGAACAGATTCATTTTGAATCCTGTCTGACAAAACAATTGTTTAAATTCTTTTTCAGCCTGATTTTTCTATTGAATGTCAATGTATGTTGTAGTTCCACAATTTAGATGGTGGTGTTTCCAGTATATATTTTGGAACATCAGATCTTTTTATGATATTTTGTACATACCTAGAGACCATATAACTAGATGTTGTGTACATTTTGAATAAAACTTGTATATGAATTGAATGCGTCCAGTATGCCCTAGTCTTGAGTAGTGCTCAGTTGATGTTCAGGGTGATTATTTAAAGTACTCTGGTCGTTTGTTTAAAAATGCTGAAAACGAGCAAGTTTTATGTCAACTATATGAAAACAATTCAGTTCAACTCATGGAACAAAATACTATTATGAGGCATATTCATGGCATATTGAAAGTCCCTACGTGTTGATATGTTTTATGGAAATTATCAAGCAAGTATTTATTTCTGAATATGTATTTGGTATACATGTAGTAGTTTCTTAGAATATAAGTCCCACGTGCACTGGTTGTATACACTTGAGACACAGTTGTTATACAGTTTCATTAAATTAAGTTTCGTGATTGAAAAGAAATGCTTATTTGAACAAATTTTGTACTTTTGTTCTTTAAAATAAATTAGCTTCAAATCACACCAGACAATATTTGTTTCATTTAACAGTCTACAGCTTGAAATTCTTTTTGAGATAATCTGTAGAAACAAACAAGGAATTGATCTGGCTTCAGTACAGATTTTCTAACCATTCTACTCAGGAATGTTAACTCTTGCACTTGATTTATTTATCATTACAATGTGAAAGTAACATTATCTTTTATACTTACACTAACTTGGTTCATATGTCTGTAATGTTAGTGATGTTCCTCAGATAGTCTCTACCTATAAATTCCACATACAATGTGCACTCACTGTACTCTGTAAGTTTTGAGAAACAAACTCTTAAGAACCTTATTCCTTTGACTGGGCTCTGTGAGCTGCTTCCCTGAAGATTATGTTATTTGTTTTGTTTTTTAAAAACCCAGGCTTCATTTATTAAGTTTAGTTTTTTTTCATAACTAGAGTGCAAAAAATCAGTGAAATGTAATTCAGAATTTTTCTATGCTATCTCTCAAAAGTCTGGTTATTAGATTTTAAGTGAATGAAACCTGATGCTGTTAAGACTCTCCCAAAGATTTATTACAGATTTTAAAAATCAAATTTATTAAATTACATTATATTCACATTTGTGAAATTTTGGGTCATCAGGTCATTGAACCAAGTAACAAAGAGACACATGTCTTATCTGACAAGATGAACCACTGAGGTAAGAAGTCCCAACTGTATTGCCCCATTGTATTACTTCAGAAGGTTTGTCTAGAAACAATCCATATGGTACATCCATAAAGTCTTTTAGAGAAATAGTTGTTACATTTGGGGCACTGTTATTAAGCATAGTGTTCTTGTAGCTTTGGTCTTTTGCCGATATGAGTGTTTGATGTTATTTAACTTTCATAAGTTTCACAAAAGTACCAGCTACATGCTTTGCGGCAAGTATTTGACTTACTCGGCTTGGCACAAAATGAAGATTTGCTGTGAAATATTAACATCAAAGGTTTTGCTTAAAAGTCAAGTCAATAACATCTGTGTTCAACATGACTGAGAGGAGGGCATCACAGCCATTTTGAACACTGATACAAAGTGCTGATACCTTGCATTGGTTAATGTGCAGTTCTTAAATATTTGTTATGGACAAAAAGTATATATTAATCCCATAATTCAAACCTTTTATTTTGTCTGTTTTGTTTAGTTTATTTCCCATACTATTAATCTGTTAACCCTGCAATGTATTATCAGGGAGACTGTACAAAGATATAGACTCCCTGGTATTATTGTATTGAGATAGTGTAGAGAAGAACATGAAATCTGACTAGGTGAGCATCATATATGTGGAGCAGACAGTAAATGCTCTGATCAGGCAGGATAATATAAGGTTGACATTTATACTGAGTAAAGTGCATGTAGGTGCTGTCAGCTGAAGGTCACTTTGCCAACCATCCCATCAAGGCAGGAAGTACAACGATACAAGTAGAACAATCACGAATATTCAGATTCTGGAAAGGAACACATCCATTTTTCAAGTGCTTGCCCTATGGACCCAATGTGCACTTTATCATTCATTGCAGTAGTCGAAGCTGAGGTGTCATCCAGGGAAACGGTCGTTAAGGATGTTTTCTGGTCGGTGTATTTAACTCTTTTGAAGATATCTCTAAATTCTTTAGTTTGTAATCTAACTGTCCATGTACCATGGTATGTTTAGTCGGACACAGTGTGTACTGGGCATGTGAGTAATGAGAAAAAACTGGATGTGCACCTTTTAATTGACGACAATATATACGTGGCATGTTTCGAGCCATTAATATTCTTTTTAATAACCCTTCATCTTCGACAATTTAATTTTTTGTATCTTATTTATAAGAGTAATCGCTGCATGTCAGTGAAAGTTAGATGAACACTTATGCTGTTTAAGCACTCTCAAGCACCACAATTCCAGTTGCACAGCATTTGCTAGCAATACCCGCAGAGATTCTTAAATTTGGGATAATTGTCTTTAATTACCTATTTACTTCCCGATAGAACACAATATTATTTTTTCTATCATGGGCATACTTTCGGAAGTGCAAGCCTGCATCTTTCCCATGTACTGTGTCTGTGGCACCTGAACGTGTCGTTTTCATTAATATCTATGATTTTGTAGTCATAGTGGAATGATTATAATGCAAAGTAATTCAGCTCTTCAAATTTCATCAATTTCTTTCTCAGAACTGTTTTCAAGTTCAGAATAAACATCATTAACAGTTGTCCCTAGTGTAGCAACTGTATCTGGTTCCTCTGTGTCATGAGATGTGTGTAAATTGTAGTTAACCTAGTGTGCTGTGTGTGTCTGAATATACAGTTTACCGCAAATCCTTGAATAAAGTGAGGGTTCATTTCGAAATGTTGACAAGGGGCATTTAATTGTGACCTCCACTTTTACAGAGGCATTTTTCAGTATGGAAAGGGAGCATTACATAATTTTGCCATTTGACATGCATTTCTTGTCAAGGATTTATGGTATATTTATGACCGTAACTGATACAAGGTCACAACATGCAGTCAAGGCGGCAGCTCCTTGTAAGGTCCTTCAAGGTCACTCAGTTCATGGATCTGGGAGTTAACATGTACCACCATACTCAACATTTGACAGGAATACTGAGATATTTCATTCTATGAAGTAACGAGACAACGTATGGAACTGTATTTTTGTTGAATCAACTTCAAATAATTGCACATGTTTCAGTTCCAGTATCACATGTTATTTTATGACAACATGTCGAAGCAATCAGTCACATTCAGACCCCATCTGGATACTCCCTATCCTTATCAAAAGTTGTATATATCTTTATTCATATGCAACTGGAAAGTTTTTGAGAATCTTTTTAGTGTGCAGTAGTAGTCTTTAGACTATTTTTTATATACAAGAAGA